GGCGCTGCTATCGATGTCCGCCCGTGCCGCCTAACGCAGTATGCAATCAGGTGTTTGATAGTTCTGCCATCTAGCACGTAAAAGGAAAGGTGGGGCGGCGGACACGACATTGCGGTACAGTATGCACTCAGGCGGCTTTATTCGCCAGCACCGTCATTGCGGTACAGTATGCAATCAGGCGTTTGATGGCTGTGCCATCTAGCGCGAAACAGGAAAGGTGGGGTGGCCACGCAATGGATAGTAGCCGGTTCACGACGGCCATCTGGTAAGTACAAATTTGATGCAGGTTTGGTGCGATTAGGTTCAGTGTGTTTCTTAGGAGCTATCCGCTAGGGGTTACATTAAAGGAAATAGTTCACTTTTAACATGGGGTTTTGAGCTGGAATAGCAGTTTCGTAGCTTGAGCTGAGACTAGCACAAATCAGGAGCTTTTACGGCTCAACGATCACCCTAGACAAAGAAATTCCATTTCTCGTTCCGAAAAGAGTGCCTTGTAGAGGAATGCGTGCCTTGCACAGGAATGCAGCCACGTCATCGTCAGCCAATCAGCGTGCTGCTTACAGCCAATGCAGTATTCGTAGGTTTGAGCTACGCAATATGATTGGTCAATGCGTAATAAGCTTCCGCGTCAATCATTATTTTACATAGAATATAGTTCGCCCTATATTAAAATAAAGAAAATAATTGTTTTTACAAAAAGGTTTTATTTTATTTCATGATTATTTTGAGCATAAAAAATCATAAATCAATAGCAAAATACTGATTTCAGGAAAGTGGACTGTTTCCTTTAATTGCTTATAGCTGTTCCTGCTTTTTCATAGTATCAGACATTATTATCGATCAACCCTATTACTGGTGGAGGGGGGGGGGGGGGGCATCGGCCCCCACCTGTAGTATTTTTGCTGTCGATGGAAAATCGCCTTAGGGGTTCGAAATTTGGCGACTTTTCCTTAGCTAGAGGCGTATCCAGGATCAGTTTCTCGGGGGTAAATCTGGTCACACAATAATTTCAAAACAAACGTGTCCATCTGTATGTGTGCATATGCCCTAGAGACAGTATTGCGGTACAGTGTGCTTTCAGGCGGTGATACGGCAGACGCGGCACTGCGGCACAGCGTCCATTCAGGCGCTTGACGCTCCTGCCATCTAGCGAGTAAAAAGGAATGTTTGGGCGGCTATGCCAGCCGCACTTATTGGGTAGGTATGCGCACTCGATTACCTACCTGGCAATCTTCAAGAGAACAACCTTTCACCATTTACAGCATTAATAATATCCATGATATTGAACAAACGGATGTGATAGAATACAATTAGAGTAGTTTACAGTGCTCATGTTAAGAACGTAGGTATGTTATGTTACGACTTACTGGTGGTTATAGGAATGCACTAGAGTAAGGTGGGAATAGAACCTATGAGTAGGGTATGGGTAAGGTGTAGGTAGCGTATAGGTAGGGTAGGACATGTATATGGGTAGAATAGCGCTTTTTTGCGGCGTTCCCGATTGGCGGCGGGCGGGCGGGCGATGTGGGCGATTTTCATTTTTTGTGGCGTTTGCGGTTGGCGGCGGGCGGGCGGGCGCGCGATGCGGGCGGTTTTCATTTTTTCGAGGCGTTTGCGGTTGGCGGCGGTCGGGCGGGTGGTTTTCATTGTTTGCGGCGTTTGTAGTTGGCGGCGGGCGGGCGTGCGATGCGGGCGGTTTTTTTGCGGCGTTTGTGGTTGGCGGCGGGCGGGCGTGCGATGCGGGCGGTTTTTATTGTTTGCGGCGTTTGCGGTTGGCGGCGGGCGGGCGCGCGATGCGGGTTTTTTTTTATTTTTTTGCGGCGTTTGCGGCGTTGTTTGCGGTTGGAGGCGGTCATTTTTACTTTTGCGGCGTTTGCTGTTGGCGGCGGGCGGGCGGGCGCACGATGCGGGCGGTTTTCATTTTTTTCGAGGCGTTTGCGGTTGGCGGCGGTCGGGCGGGCGTTTTTTATTTTTTGCGGCGTTTGTGGTTGGCGGCGGGCGGGCGTGCGATGCGGGCGGTTTTTATTTTTTGCGGCGTTTGTGGTTGGCGGCGAGCGGGCGTGCGATGCGGGCGGTTTTTATTTTTTGCGGCGTTTGCGGTTGGCGGCGGGCGGGCGCACGATGCGGGCGGTTTTTGCGGCGTTTGCGGTGTTGTTTGCGGTTGGAGGCGGTCGTTTTTATTTTTGCGGCGTTTGCGGTTGGCGGCGGGCGGGCGTGTTTTTTTAAATAATTCAATATCCAAACCTTTGGATTCGTAGTGCTCCTCGAAAAGCCATCCCTACCTACTATACAATTAAGAGAAGTAACTACCAAACACCACCCTACTTATATAAACATAAAAGTTTTGACAACCCAACTAATGGCCCCATCAACAGTATCTATACAAACGTACAGTTACCGCGTAAACCTGTATTCTAGTCTTACTTAATAAATTTTAAGTTGTCTGTCTGTCCGTCAGCCTTATGTGTCTTCTTGCGCCGGCACGGCGCCGCGTAGCGACGTGAAATTTATTGGGCAAAAACTTTGGGTGGGGCGGACCATCGTATCAAAAGATGGGCGCAATCGGACCAGGGGTGCGGCGTCAGCGCGTGAATCTCTGCCCCAGGCTGGCCGAGGCCGGCGCCGAGCAGAGAGCACGCGCTCTAAGCTCATTTTCTTCGCTTGCCAAACTGAGTGAAAACGATGAGAGCCAGCTCGGGAATTCAACTCTGTGGATTTAAAGAATACAGGTTTTCGATTAGCATCAGGTATAGGCGCAGGTACAGGTATTAGGTTCGGTTTCACCAGTAAATAAAATAAATTTATTACCGAGCGAGCGAAGCGAGCAAACTTTCGGATCTGCAGCGCTCATCGAAAAGCGCATATACATCCATACCATAATTCAGTTAAATGAAGTAACAAACAAACTTAACCCTACTGACATGAACATACAAGTTTTATCAACCAAACTAATAATCCCCTTAATAAACATATATCTCGAATCTATACAGTTATCGTGTAAACCTGTATTCTAGGCCGGCCGGCCGTGGTCACGCTTTTGCGAGGCTTATATCTCAGCAACCACTTGACCGATTTACATGCGGTAATTTTTGTAGGGTAGCTTCATTCTTTCTACCAAGTATTGGACTATTCCCGATGTACGTGGGTGACCACTTATGCACGTGCCACGTGCAAAACGAAGAGGTGTTGGTTTTGCAACAATTGCAATATCTCGGTAACTACTGGGCCGATTGCGCTGAAAGTTGGCATGTAGTCTTACTTAATAATGTGTCTCAATGCTTCTAAATCCTCTGCCGCTCATTCTCCGTCACTATCCACCCTAATCTGTGTTTTCATTTAAGAGTAGCGAACCAACTTTCAACACGGCATTGCCGTACAGTATGCACTCAGGCGGCTATAACCGCCAGAAGCGACATTGCGGTACAGTATGCAATCAGGCGTTTGATAGTTCTGCCATCTAGCGCGTAAAAGGAAAGGCTGGGCGGCGGACACGACATTGCGGTACAGTATGCACTCAGGCGGCTTTATTCGCCAGCACCGTCATTGCGGTACAGTATGCAATCAGGCGTTTGATGGCTCTGCCATCTAGCGCGAAACAGGAAAGGTGGGGTGGCCACGCAATGGATAGTAGCCAGTTCACGACGGCCATCTGGTAAGTACAAATTTGGTGCAGATTTCGTGCGATTAGGTTCAGTGTGTTTCTTAGCAGCTATCAGCTAGGGTTACATTAATTGCTTATAGCTATTCCTGCTTTTTCATAGTATCAGACATTATTATCGATCAACCCTATTACTGGTCGGGGGGGGGGGGGGGGGCATCGGCCCCCACCTGTAGTATCTTTGCTGTCGATGGAAAATCGCCTTAGGGGTTCAAAATTTGGCGACTTTTCCTTAGCTAGAGGCGTATCCAGGATCAGTTTGTCGGGGGTAAATCTGGTCCGGCTTTGACTGCAGTGGCGAAACCAGGGGGGGGGGGCAAAATGGGCATTTGCCCCCCAAACGGCATGATTTTAACATTACGCCTACGGACGATGCATGGAAAGAATTGATAAATTGTTATGGTTTGACCCCCAAAACTCTGAGCTGGATCCGCCTCTGTTTGACTGTTCCGACACTTTCCGCTAAGCAGCGACTTACTTAGGTTTGTACTGGTGAGCAGTGGTTCCAGTTGGTCCTTTGTCATCTAAAAAGTGTTTTAAAGCCTTTCATGGTGTCCAGTGCATATCATAGTTCAAAATCGAACAATAAGAAAAGCCACTCTGTGCATTAAACAGTGACGCCGTCTCGTAGCGCTCCTCTGGATGGAGTCCCTTATCCGTATTGCTTGCTTCTTCAGGCGCAAAAATAAGGAACATGATATAGGCAATTTTGTTATATACCTAAGGAATAAAGAAATAAAAAACAGAAATTAAGAATTACATTATAACCAAAATATGAACAATTTACCTACTAATCGCATAGTACTGTATTAATATTTACAATAAAGATAGCATATTGTAAATACATAAAATATGTAAACAAAAGTACGTAATAACAATAATTATAATAATAAAATATTAAGAAATATTCATATGAAAATTAAACAAGTGATAATATTTTGTTAATTTTGCGATTTCGTTTTCTGGAGGATCAATAAATGCCAATGGCAGTAATCACAAACAAATCATCCAATTCAGAGGAACCGGTGGGTAAATAACACAAATCACCTGATTCCGAGGATGCTTGGGGAAAAATAAGGAAAGGATTGCAACAATATGCCTATCTTTTTATTTCCTATTTAGACGTATTATGCGCATTTGCCGGCGCATTTGCCGCTTTGCAAATTTTTGTTTACATTTCGCGTCCTTTAGTGACAATCGGTGTAGACGGTGATACTCGAGACAGCTTCCGTTGTTTTATTACCGCCATGAGACTTTTGTGTATATAGTGTTATTTGTTGTGCAGTGCTTTGTAGTTTAGGTGTGTATTTGTGTGACTTTGTGTGCGTGAGAACGTTTGGAGATGCCTCGCCGTGCGGGCCAAGCGGCTCGCGAGGCGAACGCCGCTGCCCAGCGCCGTCGCCGTGAACGGCTCGCTCAGGCGCGGCGCGAGGCCGAGGCATTAAGGAATGCCGAGCGTCACCGTGAGCGTCGTGCTGGCCTGGCTGAGGAGGAGCTCGAGGCGGCCCGAGAGGCAGATCGCGAGCGGGTCCGGGAACGTCGCCACCGAGAGGAGGAGGAGCAGAGGGATGCTCGGCGCGCCGCTGACGCCGCGGCCCACCGCGATCGTCGAGCGCGAGAGGACCGCGCCAGCCGCGCCGCCTGTGACGCCGACGCCGTACTGTCCGGGCGCCAGCAGGTCGCCGTGCTCGACGTAGGACGCCGCGAGGTGGAGTGCCTTCACTGCCGCGCACTGCTGTGGAGGGCAGAGCGCGCCACGCTGTGCTGCTCCGGCGGTAAGGTGCAGCTGGAGCCCGTACCACCGCCACCGCCGAGGCTGCGCGCGCTATGGACGGACGACGACCCGACTGCCCAGACCTTCCGCAAACACGCCCGCCGTTTAAACACGGCTCTGTCGCTGGCGTCGCTAATGACGCGCGAGGTGCAGCAGCCGGGCGGAGGCTTCTCGCCGTCAGTGGTGATACAGGGCCGGCTGTATCACCGGATTGGACCGCTCCGTGCCAGGGACGGCGAGGAGCCTGCCTTCGCACAGATTTATGTCAACGATCCCGAGTGCGACGACCCGGCGGCCGAGGCTGCCCAGCGCCTTGGCCACGTTCCGTTGCCTCGCAGCACCCGCGAGCCGGAGCGGGCACGGCTCTTAGCGCTACTCGAGGAGCTCCAGGTCCTCCTCCGGCAGGTCAACCCCTACGTACAGGACTTCATACACGCCGCCGAGCTGCCAGAGGAGGAGGTGCAGCATCAGCGCCTGGTGGTGAGCGCCGACGCTCGACCCGCCGACCAGCACCCCCGCCGGTACAACCGCGCGGAGGGGTTCCGCGAGGTGTCCATCCTTATGGACGAGGAGCCCGTCCACCAGGATATAGTGCTGCGGCGGCGCGCTGGTGCTGAAGGCCCGGTGCTTCAGACCATCAACGAGACGCACCGGGCCTTCGAAGCCCTTCACTTCATCCTGCTGCTCCCGTGGGGCACCGACGGGTGGCAGCCAGCTCTGCGGCAGGCCGAGCGGAACGGGCGCGGCGACGTGCGGGCGCTGACGCTCCTGCAGTTTTACGCCCACCGGCTGCAGGAGCGTCCCGGCGTCGACGACAGTCTCCACCGCGCAGGGCGACTCTTCCAGGAGTTCGCCTGCATGGCCTTTGCGCGTGTGGAGACTCAGCGTCTCCTCTTCCTGGCTTGCCACCAGACCGCCATCAGAGCCGAGCTCTACCAGCGGCTCCAGGACGCAGTGCCGGCCGACGGCGCCCTGGAGGAGCGCGGTGACGGAGACCGCCTCGGACGGCGGATTATCCTACCGGCCAGCTTTGCTGGCGGCCCGCGCTACTACCAGCGCCGGTGAGTAAAAACACATTGCATATAAGTGACCAATTACATGATCATTCAGGCGTAAAAACATATCAAACTTACCGGTATTATATTGCTGTTTTCTTTTGCGCATGGAACGGAATTGCCCTCATTTATTCGTCGTAAAAGGCAGTTCAGTAAAAAATGAGCTCGGTATTTGGCGATAGCGATTTGGAATATTGGTCTCATTTACATTAACTTTTACTACTTTCGAATGCTAATCACATCATCATCACCGACGAATTTCAATTCGTACGTTTCCCACCAGTAGTATGTCATTCGGAAATGGGTGTTGCGTCTGATTTAATATCACAAACGAACTATTTACATGTCATGCCATACAAACACTGTTGGCTAACGTTTTCATCGTCTTTGTCTACAGCTATCAGGATGCCATGGCTATCGTCCGTGTGCACGGCCGCCCGACCTTCTTCATCACGTTCACGTGCAACCCCGGCTGGCCTGAGATCCAGCAGGCCCTCATCGGCGGCCAAGATGCCCAGTCCCGTCCGGACCTGGTGGCGCGCGTCTTTCAGCTGAAGCTGAAGTCCCTGCTCCAGGAACTCACCACACACGGCATCTTCGGCCGTACTGTGGCGATGCTCATGGTCATCGAGTTTCAAAAGCGGGGTAAGCATCTACATACATGTTTATTATGTTTTTACTGTTTTGTGACATATTGGCAGTAGCGTTTTTGATGAAATATGTCATAGCTGTTAAAACCAGCTTTAGTGTGATGTAATGTAAAAATGAAATGTTTTTTTTTTTTACCATATCTTTCCTCCTTTCAAAATATATACTGAGCCAAATTTTTATTTTTTTTTGTGTTTTTAAACAGGTAACCCAGCTTTCATCAAAAGCACTATCCAAAAGAACACATTTGGATGCAGCACGCAATGCTTCTGTTTGCTGACTGTTGTCTATCTTCACTGCTTCAGGCCTACCACACAGCCACATCCTGATCATCGTCCGGCCAGAGGATCGGCCGAGGACCGGCGAGGACGTGGACGCCGTGATATCAGCGGAACTGCCGGACCCGACCCAGTCGGAGCAGGCGCGCCGGCTGCACGACATCGTCGTGCGGTCGATGGTCCACCGGGAGTGCGGCGCCGCCAACCCGACGGCCGCCTGCATGGAGGGCGGCCGATGCTCGAAGGGATTTCCCAAACCGTACGCGGCGGCTACCGAATGGCGGGACGACCACCCCTATCCGGTGTATCGGCGGCGGGCGGCAGCCGACGGCGGCCAAGAGACGGTGCGGGACGGCCGCACCATCACCAATCAGTGGGTCGTGCCGTTCTGCCCGTATCTCTCGCTGCGGTACGACGCACACGTGAACGTCGAAGTTTGCTGCAGCGTCCAGTCGGTTAAATACCTGTTCAGGTAATTACATTCAGAGTGTAATATGCTTGACGACAATGTCACGGTCTTTACTTTCCGAACGCACTTGATTGCGCACGTGATGATGAACTTAACATGTGCATTTCTCGCATGATTTATGCATTGATTTTATGCATTGATAAGTATGCATTGATATGTTATATTAATGTCGAATTTGAATTAAACCTCTTTCCTTGAATGGCAGCGGTCCAGTGTCTTGCAGTGTGATTCAGGCACAAATGTGATCTGAACTGAGCGACCGTTTGACTCAATTGACCGCTCTAACCCGGACTAACTGCTGACCCAGCTGAGCAGCTGTGCCCCACGTTGACACAGTGTGACACGGACAGAATAAATGTTTCCCCACCAGCTCCCGTGACACGGACTCAACTCCTCTGCGACCCCGGGATGTGTGCACATAGCAGATTGTATCACATTTACCGAATATTTTCAGGTATATCTATAAAGGCCCCGACCGCCAAATGGTGCGGGCCGCGGACCTGGTCGGCGCCGACGACGAGATCGCCGCCTACCAGGACCTGAGGTCCATCGGGGCCAGTGAGGCCTGCTGGCGCCTCTTCGACACGCCGCTCAGCCAGCGACAGCCCAACGTGGTGGCACTTCAGGTGCATCTGCCCGACCACCAGCTCGTCTTCTTTGAGCCTGGGCAGGAGAGGCAGGCCGCCGAGGCCGCCCGGCGCACGCACCTGACAGCGTGGGCCCGTGGCTCGAATACAACCGCGACTCGGCCGCCACCGACCCCCAGTGCCGGCAGCTGCTCTACCCGGACTTCCCGTCGGCATACACCTGGCAGGCCGGCCAGAAGGTGTGGCGTAAGAGGAGACAGCGACAGGCGACGGAGGCCATCGGCCGTGTTGTGAGCCTGTCACCTCGCCACGGAGACGTCTTTTTTCTCCGTGTGCTTCTGCACCACGTCGCGGGGGCCGTGTCGTTCGAAGAGCTGCGGACGGTGAATGGCGTGATCTGCGCCACTTACCGTGAGGCGTGCGGCCTCCGCGGCCTCCTGCGCGACGACCAGGAGTGGGAGGTGACCATGGAGGACGCTGCCCACACCCAGCTGCCGTGCCAGCTCCGCCGGCTCTTCACCGTCCTCCTTCTCTTTTGTACGCCGGCGGACACGCTGCAGCTATTCCGGCGTCATGTGGAGGCGATGGCGGAAGATTTTGTTTTCCGCCACCCTGGCCTGCCGGACGACCTGCGCGCCCCGCTGGTGCTCGTACACCTGGAGCGTCAGCTGCAGCAGGCCGGCAAGGAGCTGCACGACTTCGGTCTGCCGGAGGTCACGCCCGAGCAGCGCGCCCGCGCTGCCGAGCTGGAGCAGGCTGCCGAGCTGCGCCGGCTGCCGCGCATTATCCAGGAGGAGCTGGATCACGACGTCGGCGAGCTCCAGGATCGGCTGGCAGTTCAGCTGCCGACACTCCTGCCGTCCCAGCGGGCCATCTTCGATCGGGTCCTGGCGGCCGTCGATGAGCACCGTCCGCTGGCCGTATTTGTGGACGCCGCCGGCGGCACCGGGAAGACCTACGTCTTCAACGCGCTGCTGGCGGCGGTTCGGTCGCGCGGCATGGTGGCGCTCGCCGTCGCCTACAGCGGCATCGCTGCCACGCTCCTGGAGGGAGGCCGCACCTACCACTCCCGTTTTAAGGCGCCGCTGCTGATCAACGAGACGTCCACGTGCGCCATCAGCGCGCAGAGCCCGCTGGCGGACCTCATCCGGCGGACGGCGCTCATCGTGTGGGACGAGGCGCCCATGGCCCATCGTCACCACCTGGAGGCCTTCGACAGGACGTTGCGTGACGTCACCGGTAGCGACGAGCCGTTCGGCGGCAAAGTCCTCGTGCTCGGTGGGGACTTCCGACAAATTCTCCCCGTCATAAGGTGAGTTTTTTCTTCAATAATCGTCCGTTTGATCTCACCGTTAGTGTTACATCCTAATTGAATCATAATTTGCAAATACAAGTGCTTACTATTTTCGTTTATTCTGTTATTTGAGAAATGAAATGTTCACTGTTTTCGTTGATACTCTGAGTGCATTACCAAAGATGTTCATACCACTGACAAGTGTAACCCATTTCAGTTAAAGTTGCGTCATTCCATTACGCTATCATTGTGTGAAACATGTTCCTGCAACAATTAGTAAGTGCAGGCAACCCTTAATCGTACTGAAACTGAAGAAATATGGACATAATATGCCTGTATAACTAGCCAGTTACTGTTGAGCGGCTGCAGTTTTGCTTCATATAAATCAATGTCGTTTTCTGTTTCAGGCACGGCACCCGCGCCCAGGTGGCCGGTGCCTGTCTCCGGCGGTCGCCACTGTGGCGGTACTTTGTGGTCGCGCCACTACGCGACAACATGCGCGCACGTCTGGCGGCCGGAGCGGACGGCGAGGAGCTGCAGGCGTTCTGCAACTGGCTCCTGGAGCTGGGCGAGGGTCGGCTGCCTGGGCCCGAGGACGGCTTTGTGCAGCTCCCGCCTCAGCTGGTCATGGACGCTGATGTCGCCGCCGTCATCGACTGGACGTTCGGTGGCCTGGAGGAGCACCACGCCGACCGCCAGTGGATGGCTTCCCGGGCGATTCTGGCGCCCCGTAACACGCGCGTGGATGAGCTGAACGCCGCCGTCACCGAGCGGTTTCCGGGCGAGGCCGTCCACCTGCTCAGTGCCGACAGCCTGGGGGCTCAGGATGAGGGTGAGCTGGACATCCCGCAAGAGTACCTCAACACTCTGAGTGCTCCCGGCTTCCCGCCGCACCGTCTAGTGGTGAAACAAGGGATGCCGCTCGTCCTGCTGCGCAACCTGGCCGCTACCGACGGCCTGTGCAATGGGACGCGGCTGATCGCCGGCCGAGTGGTGAGCCCGCGCCTGCTCGAGGCCACCATCGCGTGCGGAAAGCACGCCGGACGGCGAGTCTTCATCCCGCGCCTGCCGCTGCACCCGCCCGAGGACGCCTTCCCGTTCCACTGGGAGCGGCGTCAGTTCCCTGTCCGCCCGGCCTTCGCCCTAACTATCAATAAGGCGCAGGGTCAGACACTCGGCAGGGTGGCTGTTTTCTTGGAGGAGCCGCCCTTCAGCCACGGCCAACTGTACGTGGCGGCCTCGCGCGTCGGCCGGCCAGATGACCTGCGCTTCGCCCTGCCGGCCGGCAGCCAGGGCGCCACCCGTAACGTGGTTTACGGCGAGGTGCTCGGCGACTAGCCGTGCCCACGACGGCGATGGCGACAACCACGACAACGACAACGAGCTCAGGTTGTTTACCCGCAGGCATCGGTGAGCTTTGCACTACCTGTTGGGATTTCTCCTGTAAAAAAGAAATGCAGTCCGATGTGGCAGCCTCCACGCGGCGGGCTGTGGATGATACTAATAGCCACACAAAGCTAACGGTGAGTGGTAAGTATTAAATCATGATGAATTGAAGAGGTGTCTATTTTCTGCGAATTCATACGGTTTCCTCAATGTCTTTCTTATTTGCAATCGTTGTGGTGCTGTGAAGGTAAACAATGTTTTGAAACCCACCAAGCTATAGAAAGCCCAAAACTGTACAAAAGGAAGCATTACGTGATAATACATTGGTTATATTTGCACAAATCACACTTAAAACAAAAATAATTTCAAAACAAACGTGTTCATCTGTATGTGTGCATATGCCCTAGAGACAGTATTGCGGTACAGTGTGCATTCAGGCGGTGATAAGGCAGACGCGGCACTGCGGCACAGCGTCCATTCAGGCGCTTGACGCTCCTGCCATCTAGCGAGTAAAAAGGAATGTTTGGGCGGCTATGCGAGCCGCACTTATTGGGTAGGTATGCGCACTCGATTACCTACCTGGCAATCTTCAAGAGAACAAACCTTTCACCATTAAAAGCATTAATAATATCCATGATATTGAACAAACGAATGTGATAGAATACAATTAGAGTAGTTTACATTGCTCATGTTAACCCTCGCATGTGTAGGGGGGGGTCGGATGGACCCCCCCCATGGTTTTTCGCGAATAACTCGCGTAAAAAGCGGCCGATCGCGACGAAACTTTCAGTACCCTCGCATTGATCAATTTTACACCTACCCTGAAAATTTCATGACCCTGACCCAAATGACCTTTGACCTGTGACCTCTTTTCCGAGACCATGTTTGGCCGGAATCGCGATTTCGCGTATGTCGGCTCGCACTAGCCGCGTGTTTGCAAGCTTTTCGTGGTTTCAAACGTTCAAACATGTGATTTTATGTTACTCCCGTGTGTGTCAAGGTCACCTGAAGGTCAGGTCAGGTCATTGACCTTTGGTGACCTCGGGTGACCTCGGGTCACTTTTTCGAGTTTTACATGTTTCTAGGCTAGTTTTTGGAGCTGAATTCGAATTTAGCAACCATTTGAACATTTACGAAGTAGTTTTGGTGACTTCGTAACATGTTACGAAGCTGTCAGAGGCGGTTGACACGTACTACGAATACCCGTCACGACGCCTACTGGTTGACCTGACCTGACCTGACCCGACCTGGTCTAAATGCTTCAAGACATCATCTGTGATCAAAACTAACACGATATTCGTGATCAGCACCCCGAAAAACCCCTTAGCAGCCACACTTTACGACTTTCTAACAGGTCCCGATTTTCCCGACTTTGGGTCATTGACCTGACCTGGAAGGTCAACCAATGACCTAGGACCTTAAAATTGGGTATCATCGGCTTCCTCTCGTCACGGGCAACACGCTCGTTTTTTCCGCGAAGCTCTAGCTCGATCAGGGGCCAAACGGCAAGGGGGGTCCAACCGACCCCCCCCCTACACATTAGAAGCTGGCAAACGCCGCACACATGCGAGGGTTAAGAACGTAGGTATGTTATGTTACGACTTACTGGTGGTTATAGGAATGCACTAGAGTAAGGTGGGAATAGAGCCTATGAGTAGGGTATGGGTAGGGTGTAGGTAGGGTATAGGTAGGGTAGGACATGTATATGGGTAGAATAGCGCTTTTTTGCGGCGTTCCCGATTGGCGGCAGGCGGGCGGGCGATGCGGGCGATTTTCATTTTTTTTGTGGCGTTTGCGGTTGGCGGCGGGCGGGCGGGCGAACGATGCGGGCGGTTTTCATTTTTTTTTCGAGGCGTTTGCGGTTGGCGGCGGTCGGGCGGGCGGTTTTCATTTTTGCGGCGTTTGTAGTTGGCGGCGGGCGGGCGTGCGATGCGGGCGGTTTTTATTTTTTGCGGCGTTTGTGGTTGGCGGCGGGCGGGCTGCGATGCGGGCGGTTTTTATTTTTTGCGGCGTTTGCGGTTGGCGGCGGGCGAGCGCGCGATGCGGGCGGTTTTTATTTTTTTGCGGCGTTTGCGGTGTTGTTTGCGGTTGGAGGCGGTCGTTTTTCCTTTGGCGGCGTTTGCGGTTGGCGGCGGGCGGGCGGGCACACGATGCGGGCGGTTTTCATTTTTTCGAGGCGTTTGCGGTTGGCGGCGGTCGGGCGGGCGGTTTTTATTTTTTTGCGGCGTTTGTGGTTGGCGGCGGGCGGGCGTGCGATGCGGGCGGTTTTTATTTTTTGCGGCGGTTGCGGTTGGCGGCGGGCGGCCGCGCGATGCGGGCGGTTTTTATTTTTTGCGGCGTTTGCGGTTGGCGGCGGGCGGGCGCGCGATGCGGGCGGTTTTTTGCGGCGTTTGCGGTTGGCGGCGGGCGGGCGTGTTTTTTTTTTTTAAATAATTCAATGTCCAAACCTTTGGATTCGTAGTGCTCCTCGAAAAGCCATCCCTACCTACTATACAATTAAGAGAAGTAACTACCAAACACCACCCTACTTATATAAACATAAAAGTTTTGACAACCCAACTAATGGCCCCATCAACAGTATCTATCCAAACGTACAGTTATCGCGTAAACCTGTATTCTAGTCTTACTTAATAAATTATAAGTTGTCTGTGTGTCCGTCAGCCTCATGTGTCTTCTTGCGCCGGCACGGCGCCGCGTATCGACGTGAAATTTGGTGACCACAAACTTTGGGTGGGGCGGACCATCGTATCAAAAGCTGGGCGCAATCGGACCACGGGTGCGGCGTCAGCGCGTGCATCTCTGCCCCAGGCTGGCCGAGGCCGGCGCCGAGCAGAGAGCACGCGCTTTAGGCTCAGTTGTTCGCTTAAAAAACTGAGTGAAAAGCATCAGAGCCGGGAGGTCGTTGACCTTTGACAACAAAGGCCGACACAGGGCACCGCTCGCCAAGAGGATTCGCCAGTAAATACAATTAATTTGTTTTTGCAATATCTCAGCCGTTTCTGGGCCGATTTAGCTGAAACTTGGACTGTCGGTGGTAGTGTAGTGTAGTGTAGTGTAGGGTAGGGTAGGGTAGGGTAGGGTAGGGTAGGGTAGGGTAGGGTAGGGGTAAGGTAGGGTAGGGTAGGGTAGGTTAGGGAAGTGTAGGGGTAGGGTAGGGTAGGGTAGGGTAGGGTAGGGCAGGGTAGGATATGGTAGGGTAGGGTAGGGTAGGGACTAGGGGTAGGGTTGGGTAGGGGTAGGTTAGGGGTAGGGTAGGTTAGTGTAGGGGTAGGGTAGGGACTAGGGTAGGGTAGGGGTAGGGTAGGTTAGTGTAGGGTAGTGTAGGGGTAGGGTAGGGTAGGGTAGGGTAGGGCAGGGTAGGGAAGGGTAGTGTAGGGGTAGGGTAGGGTAGGGTAGGGTAGGGTAGGGTAGTGTAGGGTAGGGTAGGGTAGGGGTAGGGTAGGATAGGGCAGGGTAGGGTAAGGTAGGGGTAGGGTAGGGTAGGGTAGGGTAGGGTAGGGTAAGGTATGGTAGGGTAGGGTAGGGTAGGGTAGGGTAGGGTAGGGTAGGGTATGGTAGTTTAGGGTAGGGTAGGGTAGGGTAGGGTAGGGTAGGGTAGTGTAAGGGTAGGGTAGGGTAGGGTAGGGTTGAATTGAGTAACATCCTAACTTACAAAGGGCTCGAACAACTCGCATGCATTACCATCATGCTTTACAGTTCAATTAAAAGCAGTTACCCAGTTCTACACAAATAATACCAATAAAAATGCAAGTTTCTACACCCAAACTAATGCATCCGTTAATCATACATATCAAAACATACAGTTATCGCGTAAACCTGTATTCTATTCTATTCTATCTTTACTTAATAAATTATAAGTTGTCTGTCCATCCGTCAGCCTTATGTGTCTTCTTGCGCCGGAACGGCGCCGCGTAGCGACGTGAAATTTGGTGACCACAAACTTTGGGTGGGGCGGACCATCGTATCAAAAGATGGGCGCAATCGGACCACGGGTGCGGCGTCAGCGCGTGCATCTCTGCCGCAGGCTGGCCGAGGCCGGCGCCGAGCAGAGAGCACGCGCTTTAGGCTCAGTTGTTCGCTTAAAAAACTGAGTGAAAAGCATCAGAGCCGGGAGGTCGTTGACCTTTGACAACAAAGGCCGACACAAGGCACCGCTCACCAAGAGGATTCGCCAGTTCATACAATTAATTTATTTTTGCAATATCTCAGCCGTTTCTGGGCCGATTTAGCTGAAACTTGGACTGTCGGTGGTAGTGTAGTGTAGGGTAGTGTAGGGTAGGGTAGGGTAGGGTAGGGTAGGGACTAGGGGTTGGGTAGGGTAGGGTAGGGTAGGGTAGGGTAGGGTAGGGTAGGGTAGGGTAGGGTAGGGTAGGGTAGGGTAGTGTAAGGGTAGGGTAGGGTAGGGTAGGGTAGGGTAGGGTAGGTTAGGGTAGTGTAGGAGTAGGGGCAGGGTAGGGTAGGGTGGGGGTAGGGGTAGGGCAGGGTAGGGTAGGGTAGGGTAGGGTAGGGTAGGTTAGGGTAGTGTAAGGGTAAGGTAGGGTATGGTCGGGTATGGTAGGTTAGGGTTGAATTGAGTAACATCCTAACTTGCAAAGGGCTCGAACAACTCGCATGCATCACCATCATGCTTTACAGTTCAATTAAAAGCAGTTACCCAGTTCTACACAAATAATACCAATAATTGTGTAGGGGTAGGAGTAGGGGTAGGGTAGGGTAGGGTGGGGTAGGGTAAGGGTAGGGTAGGGTAGGGTAAGGGTAGGGTATGGTATGATAGGGTAGGGTAGGGTAGGGTAGGGTAGGGACTAGGGGTAGGGTTGGATAGGGTAGGGGTAGGGTAGGGTAGGGGTAGGGTAGTGTAGGGTTAGGGGTAGGGTAGGGAAGGGGTAGGGTAGGGTAGGGTAGGGTAGTGTAAGAGTAGGGTAGGGTAGGGTAGGGACTAGGGGTAGGGTAGGGTAGTGTAGGGTTAGGGGTAGGGTAGGGTAGGGTAGGGTAGTGTAAGGGTAGGGTAGGGTAGGGGTAGGGGTAGGGTAGGGTAGGGTAGGTTAGGGTAGTGTAGGGTAGGGTAGGGGAAGGGTAGGGTAGGGTAGTGTAAGGGTAGGGTAGGGTGGGGTAGGGTATGATAGGGTAGGGTAGGGTAGGGTAGGGACTAGGGGTAGGGTTGGGTAGGGTAGGGTAGGGTATGGTAGGGTAGGGTAGGGTAGGGTATGGTATGGTAGGGTAGGGTAGGGTAGGGTTGAATTGAGTAACATCCTAACTTACAAATGGCTCGAACAACTCGCATGCATCACTATCATGCTTTACAGTTCAATTAAAAGCAGTTACCCAGTTCTACACAAATAATACCAATAAAAATGCAAGTTTCTACACCCAAACTAATGCATCCGTTTATCATACATATCAAAACATACAGTTATCGCGTAAACCTGTAGTCTAGTTTTTAATAAATTATAAGTTGTCTGTCCATCCGTCAGCCTGATGTGTCTTCTTGCGCCGGCACGGCGCCGCGTAGCGACGTGAAATTTGGTGACCACAAACTTTGGGTGGGGCGGACCATCGTATCAAAAGCTGGGCGCAATCGGACCACGGGTGCGGCGTCAGCGCGTGCATCTCTGCCCCAGGCTGGCCGAGGCCGACGCCGAGCAGAGAGCACGCGCTCTAAGCTCATTTTCTTCGCTTGCCAAACTAAGTGAAAACGATGAGAGCCAGCTCGGGAAGTTAACTCTGTGGATTTAAAGAATACAGGTTTTCGATTAGCATCAGGTATAGGCGCAGGTACAGGTATTAGGTTCAGGTTTCACCAGTAAATAAAATAAATTTATTACCGAGCAAGTGAAGCGAGCAAAGTGCGAGCGAAGCGAGCAAACTTTCGGATCTGCAGCGCTCCTCGAAAAGCGCATATACCTACATGCCTACCATACAGCTAAATTAAGTAAGTAAACAAACTTAACCCTACTGGCATAAACATACAAGTTTTAACAACCAAACTAATAATCCCCTTAAACATATGTATATCTCGAATCTATACAGTTATCGCGTAAACCTGTATTCTAGGCCGGCCGGCCGTGGTCACGCTTTTGCGAGGCTTATATCTCAGCAAACACTTGACCGATTTACATGCGGTGATTTTTGTAGGGTAGCTTCATTCTTTCTACGAAGTATTGGACTATTCCCGATGTACGTGGGTGACCACTTATGCACGTGCCACGTGCAAAACGAAGAGGTGTTGGTTTTGCAACAATTGCAATATCTCGGTAACTACTGGGCCGATTGCGCTGAAAGTTGGCATGTAGTCTTACTTAATAATGTGTCTCAATGCTTCTAAATCCTCTGCCGCTTATTCTCCGTCACTATCCACCCTAATCTGTGTTTTCATTTAAGAGTATCGAACCAACTTTCAACACGGCATTGCCGTACAGTATGCACTCAGGCGGCTATAACCGCCAGAAGCGACATTGCGGTACAGTATGCAATCAGGCGTTCGATAGTTCTGCCATCTAGCGCGTAAAAGGAAAGGTGGGGCGGCGGACACGACATTGCGGTACAGTATGCACTCAGGCGGCTTTATTCGCCAGCACCGTCATTGCGGTACAGTATGCAATCAGGCGTTGGATGGCTCTGCCATCTAGCGCGAAACAGGAAAGGTGGGGTGGCCACGCAATGGATAGTAGCCGGTTCACGACGGCCATCTGGTAAGTACAAATTTGGTGCAGGTTTCGTGCGATTAGATTCAGTGTGTTTCTTAGCTGCTATCAGCTGGGGTTACATTAATTGCTTATAGCTATTCCTGCTTTTTCATAGTATTAGACATTGTTATCGATCAACCCTATTACTGGTGGGGGGGGGGGGGGGGGGGCATCGGCCCCCACCTGTAGTATTTTTGCTGTCGAGTGAAATTGGTAGCCGCCGGTGTTGAGGATGCTGTAGAATGATTTTAACCGTGAGCAGCGTGCACATCTCAAAACACCGACAATCATCAGCTGTTTGCGGTTTCAGCGGCGTCCATTTCACGCCAGAATTTGTGGCGTACTTTGACGAGCTTCTCAGACAGTTTAATTGATTTAAGATAAATTCCATGTTTTTATGATATAAGTATGCAATATTTTACATTATGATAATTTTAAGATTAAAACATCCTCCACATATTAACTCATGATTTATTATAATGATGCTTATTATACAGACAACGATCAATTTCAAAATATGTATTTCCAGGAACTAAATGCACACTAAAACACATAAAAACGAATGTTCATCGTTATATGGCTTTATTTTTCAAATTAAAAGGGGATTTTTAAGAGGTTTTTAGCACCAGTAACCGTCTTAGATTTTCGGCAGCCACTGTATTATAGAATCGGTACGGGTCTTTAGCCTATTCTCACGTCTCACGTATGACACAAATAACGGGCACTTCATGGCTTCTGATTAGATATTTAAATTAATGATGATATACCTTAGTTTGTCAAAAATTGTAAATGCCTACTCACTATTCGTATTTCCTCACTTTCTGTTTGGCACAGTTACTGATCAGTGATCAATCTGTTGTTTTTCTTCCTACATCTCGATCTGACTTATGAACCAAGTATTTTTCTTGATATAGCTTTGATATGTAGACTGGGTACTTCAATCTTTTGAGGAATTGCTTTTTAGCTTTAGGTTAGGTATAGGTAGGTACATATGCTTGAATAAGAAGGAAAATAAGCTGTAACTTGACCTAATTCAGTTCATGTACGTAATCTTCGAATTTTAGTAGCTTTATCTGCAAGAAGGAAAATTTCAAGAGCTTATGACAAGAAGGAAAATAAGCTATATCTTGAATTGATCCAGTTAATGTACGTATCCTGATGCTCAAATTGTAGGAGCTTCATTGTCAACGGCATTAGGTACTTCAATTACTGAAACAGTAGCCGAGCTATAATTAAATGATTATTTAAATAATTCTTTAACAAATTTATTGCAATGCCTTAACAGCAAATAAATGCAAATGATAAGTAGAAGAAACACTTTATTCACTCGATTTTCTGAGCGCGACAATGCCCTCGCTGAAATTTATTTGGTCGGCAATCCACTTTTCAGGAGAATTCTTCAAGCATGTTGGTGTTTTCCATAGTTTGCTATCACGTTTTCCATAAATAATTTATTCATTACACATATGTGTGTCTCTAAAAGAAATAAATGCCCCATAAAAATTAAAACACATAACTTTTGCTGTTCGCAAACAGTACGCATAATTTCCCATAGCGACGGCGACAAGACATTGACCAATCACGTTGCGTGTTTCCTGCTGGCGTTGATTTGTACTGTGGGCAAAATGGCGTGAATAGAATTACCATACTATTCTCTTTATAAGATTGCGTGAACAGGGTGCCGTAAATAGAGTGGCGTGGAATGATAGTACGGCATTTGGTAGCACAACCTTTATAAGATTGGGCCCAGGGCCCTGGTCGTCTGTTCATGGGCGGCGGACTATTTCACATAGATTAGTTAGTGCATGAAAAAAGGTCAGGTCAAATTAGGTCAAATTTCAAAGTTGATATTTTTGCATAAAATAGGTATCCATTCTCTGCTCTACGAGGTCTAGAATTGCCAAAAATTGAGTTTAAAAATTTGACGTCATTATTTTTGAACAGTTTTTTGCTAAAACTTGGCCAAAAAACGAGGTATCGATCTGAAATTTGGTATGTAGATAGAAGACGGTAGGTACTATCACATATATTCCGGTTTTTCGAAACTCAAAAAACGTTTGGATTTTTTGGCTAATATATCAAAAAATGCTTTTTTGATTTTTTGGGGTCGAAACTCAAAAATTTCAAAAATCCGAGATGACAGTTTTGTAGCTCTGTTAATTCTACACCTTTTATGTTCCGATCATTTTTCTGTATCTTCAAAGCTGTAGGCCTGACAGGTCTTCTCGCGAAGGTCTTTTTTCGGTCAAAAATGACAGAACATGACGTCATTCTGACGTCATTTGTGGTCAACCTATCATAGCCTCTGGTAATATTTTTGGACACAATGTGTAAAATTGATGCCCGGAGGGGTTCTGACAGTTTGAAGGCGATATCTCCAGCCGTTTAGGAGATATCGACCGAAAAGGACAGGGGGGGCCGTTTCGCCCCCCCCCCCCTACGGGGCGCGGGTTAAAGGCCATATAGTCAGCTGCGTCCAGGTAAAAAAGAAAAAAAAGCAGCGAACTAATATTGAATATTCACTACATAAAAAAGGCCTTAGATAGCTTATCATTATAATAGATACCACTTTAATCAAGCACCGCAGTCCGATGATTTTGCGCGTTCTAACTTAGATCACTAGTTGCAGAAACCAGAGTTATTTAGCACTTTACATTGCACGTATATAAGTAAGGTTCAAGGCCGAAATTTCTAGAATGTAAGCATACTTTGTGTGAAAGAGAGCTTTAGCACTTAATTGGGATTTATTGGTTTGCAAATCCGAATCAGCCAGTCAAAATGAATATGAAGTTTTGAGCCACAGAACGATCCTCTCAATTGAGCCGAAGTGCGGAGGAAATGTTACCAAGGGGAGGCTGCTCCCAAGAATGAAGCTGTTCGGGACCAGAGCCAGCAGCTCCGCCAGACCATCAGCCCGTCCTCTGCACAGTGTCTGTAGCACCGAGAGACCCGCGGTCACTCACCTCTGCAGTCCGTGTCGGCTCCCCGCCGCTGTGGAAGCTCGGGGAGAGCTGCGGCAGCTCTGTGCGACGCTGCGCTCTCGGCGACTGAGGGGCGGCTGAGCTCGGACCGCCGCCGCCGCCGCCGCCGCCGCCCCCGCCCGCGGCGCCACACCAGGCGGCCGCCGCGCCGGCCCGGCCCGGCCCGGTGTCCTATCGACTGGCCCGGGCGGCGCCTGCGCGTCCCCGCCAGCCGGCCACCGCCCCAAGTCACACCGCTCAACTTCAGAGACGATTGATGAAACAACAGCCGGCGCCAACTGGTGCGGCGCAATCCTAGATGTCAGCTCCGAACAGGGACTCGGCGTGACGCGTGTCAGAAGCCAGCAGTGAATGGGCGAAGTTCATTTATCACAGACGTGCGAAAGTCAATCGGACTGTTGAAACTAGCGCGTCTGACTTTGATTAAGTGGCAATGGATTCTTGCATGCACATTTACTTTTCAACGGTTCATATGGCCTTTCAGCATGATTTGTTTGATATCCGGTAATGATTCAAACGTTTGTTTGCCTTGGGATGAATTGAGCGCACCACCGTGCTACTGGCGATTCGTAGAACAGAACTGTCCAGCTGACATATGAAACACATAAATATTTATTACCTTGAATGTAACACCAACAGACAATGCTGCTGAAAACGATGCCTTATAGCGCAGTTGCCACTGCGTTTCCAAAAATGCATACCTTCACTGTACTTCGGCCTCTCCGGGCCACATAATACATACAGCAGAAAAAGACACTCTGAGGTAACCAGTGACTAGACGATTGTAACGATGATATATTTTTTCAACGAATACATGCAAGCCGCTGTCCTGATGGAGGCGGCAGTGCAGTGAATCCCTAGTTGTGGATCATCTGAAGCAGGATGACGATGTAGGTGAGAATAAAGCCCAGGATGGAGAGCACGGTGGTCTTCTCGGCGTTGAAGAGTCCCCAGCCGTGGAAGGCGGTGGGCCGGCGGGTGCGCTCCAGCAGCAGCTGCAGCGTGAGCAGCTGATCGGCCGTCAGCCGCCGCTGGGGCCAGCGGCCGTCGGCCAGCGCCTCGTGCAGCCGCTCACCCTGCTCGGCCAGCCGGCTGCCGGCGCAGCTGACCGTCAGCAGCCGGAGCAGCATGAGCGCCACGTACGCCAGGTAGGTCGTCGCGCCGCCGCCGCCGTCGCCGAGCGCCTTGATGCAGATGTAGATGGACATGAGCAGCATGCTGGTGATGCTGGTGTAGAGGCAGATGAGCGGCGGGGAGCAGAAGTCGGCGGCGGAGGAGATGAGACGCTGCACCGCCCGCTGGGTGGCCGCCAGGTCACGCAGGAGACACCCGGGACCCGGCTGATTCGGCGAGGGGCTGACATCCACCGGTCGGACCCTCGCCGACGAAACGGCCGCTCTACCTCCATAGGTCACTGCATCCGTGTCGCTCACCGTGAGTGGCTCCTTGTGTACCTTTACCAGGCCCACTGTACCAACGACGAACGCCTTCTCTGTGGGATTATCCTCGACCCTGCCCTCCTCGGGGCTCATCCCGTCCCCCAGCTCCTCTGGGTCCTCAAACTCCCGCTCCAGCACGCCGGCCATCCGCGACAGGAGCAGCGCCATCGCGTCCGCGAGACCGATCAGCAGCAGGTCGACGCCGGCGTTCACGGCAGACATCAGGACGTCGTGGAGCACCCCCAGCGCCACGATCGCCCGGTACCAGGCGGGCGTGGTCAGCGCCGCCGGCACCAGCAGCGGGTTCGGGTAGTTGGGCGGCTCCAGCGCTCCGCTGCCGAAAAACTGGAGCATGGATGAGACGCAGGCGGTCAAGCTGAGGGCGATGATCACGGCGAACTGCACGTGCACGGTGACCCGCTCCCCGGGGGTACCGGCGGCCGCCGACGCCCGCTCCAGAGCAGCCGTCCGGCGCAGCAGCGCGGCCAGCGCGCGCCGGCGCCGCAGGAAGTACAGCATCATGAGCAGCGCCTGTAGCATGGCCAGGCTGACCACGGCGATGTGCATGGCGCTGACGGTCGATGTGGCCTCGGTCAGGGCGGCCAGGCAGCCGGCGGTGAGGAGGAGGCTGGCGGCCACGGGCAGCAGCCAGGCGACGGCCCAGCAGTCGGTGGCAGGGCCCTGCAGTCGGCTGAGGGTGACCGCAGACAGCAGCAGCGCCACGCCGCGCAGCAGCTGGGAGTGGCTGGGCATGCTGCAACACCGGGACACACGGCAAATTTAGACGAGCACGCGAGATGGGGTCAGGTACAGATCGACGAAAGCCACAGGTGGTCGAGAAAGAAGGGGACGAGGGGTCATGATTTCTCATTAATTAGCCCGCGCCCCGTTGGGCTCTGTCGAGCAACGCGCCTTGTTGGGGGGGGGGGCAATTTGGCCCCCCGTAAGATCTCGAGAACCACGCAACCTAGCGACAAGCGGCAAACGGTGTTGGATAGCCCTATCAGGGAACTACCTTGTAACCCAATTTTATTGACCTAGGTCAAACCGATGACGTCACAGGTCAGGTCAAAGGTCGAATTTTCACCGTTTACAGGCATTTCAAGAAATGCGTTGTAAAATCGAGTAAAATGCATTTCATTGAAAATCATCGATGGGGAAATGTTCTTCAAACACATATTTTGCTATCATAGTGAAAACCCCCGGTGCTGATCACGAATATCGTGTTAGTTTTGATCTCAGATTATGTCTTTAAGCATTTAGACCAGGTCGGGTCAGGTCAGGTCAGGTCAACCAGTAGGGGTCGTGACGGGTATTCGTAGAAGGCACGTGTCAACCACCTCTGACAGCTTCGTAACATGTTACGAAGGCACCAAAACTACTTTATAAATGTTCGTTTCTAAATTCGAATTCAGCGCCAAAAACTAGCCTAGAAACATGTACAGCTCGAAAAAGTGAACCGAGGTCACCAAAGGTCAATCACCTGACCTGACCTTCAGGTGACCTTGACATCCACCCAAATGCATGGCAGAAACATCAAATCACATGTTTGAACGTTTGAAACCGCGAGAAGCTTGCAAACGCGCGGCTAATGGGAGCCGACATACGCCGAATCGCGATTCCGGCCAAACATGGCCTCGAGAAATAGGTCACAGGTCAAAAGTCACTTGGGTCAGGGTCATGAAATTTTCAGAGTAGGTGTAAAATTGATGAACTCGAGTGTACTGAAAGTTTCGTCGCGATCAACCGCTTTTTGCGCGAGTTATCCGCGAAAAACCATGGGGGGGGGGGGTCCATCCGACCCCCTACACATGCGAATTGCGAGGGTTAAGCTTCATCTTCTGACAAATGGAAGTAAAATGTCTAAAAAAAGGTCTTCACCCAGTTTTCCTATACCTATGTTGTTTCTCACCGGCCGAAAAATGGCTCCAAAGTTAGGGTGCCCGTCTTATCCCACTTTCCCCTTATTGACAGGGAGCATAGGGAAAAGTGGGACAATGCCGAACTACGGGGAAAGCCGAAATTCTCGATTGTGGCCAAACGAATGGGAGGTGCAGTCCTCTGGTGGCATTTTTGTGAAGTCACAGTTCAAGTGATTCACCAGTATAAACGCCACGCGCGAACAGTTGTTAGTGAGGTGGCGGCGACGACGGAAAGTTTTCGAGGTACCTACGTCGATTTATGCTTATCCCGATATTAAACCGCGCCCCATTGGGGGGGGGGGGGGCTATTCATAGCCCCCTCCCGTTTTTCTGCAATAACTTCCAAACCGCTTGACGTATCGACGCCAAACTTTCAGTACCTTCGGCTGCATCAATTTGACACCTTGTGTGAAAATATGAACTTCTTAGCTACCATAGGTCGGCCGGAAATGACGTCAGAGTGACGTCATGTTCGGCCGATTTCGACGCAAAACATTGAACCACGGCAATCGCTCCCAAGAGCTCAGTTTTTAAGCTAAATCCAATTTCTTTACATGAAACGACGCAGAATTGGCTGCGCTATCAAACTGCCATCTCGGATTTTCAAAATTTTGAAAATTTTGAAATTTGATAAAATTAAATTCAAAATTTATATTTTTATATTTTTTCAAAAAGTTTTCAAGTTTTCGAAAAAACGGAATATATGTGATAGAACGTATGCTTATGACTTACTCTAGCAAGTTTTAGCTAAATATCTTCAAAAATGGCCAAGTTATACGCATTATTGCAAAAAATTCACAATTAATAATTTTTCAAATCAATTTTTCAGTACGTATTTGACATCGTACATTAATATAAATAGCACCATCGTGTCCCTGAGCTGCATCTAATGGACACCTTTTTTGTTGAAAAAATTTAACTTCAAAATTTGACCTTTTTTGACCTGACATAAACTGAATTCGACTCAAAATGACCTCAAATGACTCAGACGACATCAAATTCGAAATCTATGGCCTAAATGGACCATAAAACATGTGTCACGTGACCGACGTATGATATAATATTTTCGTGACCTGTGATGACCTGACCCTGACCTGAAAATCAAAGTACAAGTTTGGTACCCTCAGTGTATCTAAAGCATCTGTTCTCGAGTGTGTAAACAAAAAATGAGCCTGATCTGACTTGTAAGACGGCGGCCAGAGCCCAAAATGTGAACAAGCCAAAATGCTAATAACTTTTACTTTGGCCTGACCTGTGACGTCATCGGTGACCTCGAGGTCAATGAAATTAGGTTTCGCTCGACAGTTTTTTTCCGGGGCTATCAGACGCCGTTTGAATTTTGACAATCGGCCCAGTAGTTTCGGCGTTAGGAGGGGGGGGGGGGGCTATGAAGAGCCCTCCCCAGTAGGGCGTGTTATACGCAGATCCCAGTGGGGCGCGGGTTAAAATTACTATAACCCTCGCCGGACCTATTGGTTTTCTACATACGCGCCGGCCGAGGGGGGGGGGGGGGCGGGTACGACCCCCCTCGCCGTTTCGCCCCTGGTGGAGCTAGCGCGTCGCAGAAAAAACGAGCGTGTGCGCCGTTACGAGACGCAGAGATTGGTACCCGATTTTAAGGTCCTAGGTCAACCGGTGACCTCTGAGGTCAGGTCAAGTGCCCCAAGGTACGGTTCATTTTTTGGTGAATAACTTCGCAGATTTTGGCAGCATCGTGTTCGCCTCGCTCAGGCGCGTCGAATGATATACTTTTTGTCCGGGTCCGGTCAACTTGGGGTGTTGACCTCAGGTCAAGGTCAGGTCAGCACCCCCAGGTCACGAAGTTGGTCGAAAGAGGTCATGTCGCATATCATTCGATTCGGCAGGCCTTCCTGAGTCCATTGGTGGCTTTCCCGACTCGCTAGCTCAATTTGATCAAGAGCTATTGACGAAAAGCTAATATTCATATTAGTTTTTGATGATGACCTTTTTGACATGACCTTGATGACGTCATAAATGACGTCACGCAAGGTCAACATTGCAAAAGTGACGCATCTAACCTTGCAAGGAGTGCATCAAATCACGATTCTGTGTGCTTGAGATAGTTGGAGATCGTTCCCGGCGCCAGGATAGCAGTTTTCATTTTTCCCCATTGACTTATAATGGTGAGGTCACGAAAATGACCTGACCTCATATGACCTTTAGGAAAAATCCGAGATATACGAGGGCAGCGCTTTTCGAGGAGCGCTGTGGCCCGAAGGTTTGAACTTTGAATTGTGAAAAACGCCCGCCCGCCGCAAAACGCAAACACTGCAAAACGCGCAAAACGCACGCCCGAAACGCCAACGCAAAGGTCGCAAAAAATAAACAAACGCCCGCCTGCCGCAAACGCAAATAAAAAAAACGCAAAAACGCCGCAAAACAATAAAACCGCCCGCATCGCACGCCCGCTAACCGCCAACCGAAAACGCCTAAAAATCGTCCGCCCGCCGCAAAAAAAAACACCGCAAAAAAACGAAAAAGCGGCCGCCAACCGCAAACAAATTTAACACCGCAAACGACGCAAAAAAAAGAAAACCGCCCGCATCGCCCGCCCGCCCGCCCGCCGCCAAAGACAAACACCGCAAGAAGCGCAAAACACCCGCCCGCCGCAAAACGTAAACACCGCAAAACGTGTAAAACGCACGCCCGAAAAGCCAACGCAAACGGCAAAAGAATCGCCCGACCGCCGCAAACCACACAGAAAAAAACGCCGAAACGCCGAAAAAAATAAAACCGCCCGCAACGCACCGACGCTAACTGCTAACCGAAAACGACTAAAAGTCGCCCGCCAGCCGCCAAACGCAAACACCGCAAATAAGCGCCCGGCCGCAGCAAGATAATAATTTATCAACGACTGGCATACCGCTAGGCTGGTCATTTTCACAAATCAAAAAGATATCTGCAAAAATTTCCTAGATGAAAGCGCCCGATTAAAAAACGGATGGCACGTGCGTGTTCCTCGCCCCCAACTTCCTTCAGGTCAATCGTCATTTGGGTCACCTAACGCATTGACGACCGGCTGGGTGGAATGAACATTGCGCCAAGAAACGTAAGTATATTGTCAAAGAGAATCCCCAGAATGGTGGATCCCAAAAGTTTGAAACTACCACTTTGGCCCACTGGACGACACCTTAAACAGTTGCCGACCGGATGACACCCATTGTTTAGTCACCCACGCCATAGTATGCATCATGGGTGCGCTGAAATGACCAAAAGTCCCAATTTCCGGTGTGCAGGGTCATTTTCAACGGCACGTGGCACGTGGTTCTGGACTTTTCCGGCCACTTTGCGACATACCCATGGGTAGTGCACCGAATGGTGGTTGATCTGCATGGAAGAAAATGGGGGGTCGTTTGGATCGTTTTCGAGCAATCTGCCGTGGAACGCATTTTTTCATTTTGCCCATTGGCTTAACACGGGAATTTTCAAAGTCTCGTGGCACGTGCACCAGATGGTCCGCGGAGGGGAGACCCATACCAGAACGTAGATCACCTGGCCCACTAGAAATCCTAAAAAAATCAGAAATTTTGGAGCAGCCGTTTTCAAGAGCATCAAGTTGTACTGATCTCAGGCAGCTTTTGCCAAATTGTCAGGGAACTCAGATTTGTTTTTCAATAGAAAAACACAATTCTAAAGAATAGTGTTTTAACTATTGACAACAAACCTTCGGTTACAAGTTGTGGGACTCATAATGGATACTAGATCCTGCAAGTTTCATTTCCCTGTGACATCTACTCTGGCAGTGAGGGCGTTGCGAAGTTGCGACATCTGAAGACCGTGCAGAGGTTCACTTATGACGTCATAGGTCAGTGACCTGACCTGACCCAAAAATGCGGTTGGAGTCAAAAGATCCGGCTTGGATCAAAGGTCAGGTATGCCAAGTTTCAGCTCTCTATCGCCAGCGTGTTCGGAGCTATCGCGAAAAAACCCTAGGGGGGGGGGCGGCACCCGCCCCCCCCCCTCGGCCGGCGAGGGATAACTCACAAAGTCGTATAAAATTAAAACTCAGTTATTGCTGTCTACGGTGCCAATTATCCAAATAAACGGGACATGCTGTGATATTGCTTATTTTACCACATGTGTATTTTTTTCTTCCCGGGTCCCAATGGGTCACTGGGGTACAAAGCCGAAATTTTGGGAAAAATTTTCGGCGTTGTCCTAACCTGTTATTTTGATGCATATAAGCCTGTGTTCCTTTAACCCGCGCCCCGCTGGGCTATTCAGCCATACGCGCCCTGCTGGGGGGGGGGGGGCAGATTCTGCCCCCCCCTGTCTAACTTCCGAACCGATGGTCGTAGAAGGACGGGGAAAACGGCAATCGAAAGCTCTCAACAAGGCGGATCTGAAGAGCCCATTTTTTTCGCTTAAGTAGGTCAGAGGTCAGGTCAAGATCAGGTCAAGGGTACAAGATGCAAGTTTCTACAGTATCGGCCTTGCACCGTAGTTGCCGAAGAATGGACTGAGACTGATTGACCAAAACGTGTTCTTAGACTACCAAGACAATATTCGTTGCATACAATATCATTCAAAGGTCAAGGTCAAGGTCAGGTCAGGTCAGGTCAGGTCACCAAAAACAAAATATAGAAAAGGGCATGTGCGACACATGTTTTATGGGTCATTCTACTCATAGAATTCAATAGGCACACTCAATAAGTGATATGGACCACCTCTGGATGAATTTCAGTTCGAGGTCAGGTCAAGGTCAGGTCAAGTGAGGTCAAATTTTGAAGTTGGTTGTTAAGGCCTAAAAAGGTGTCTATCCGATGCAGTTTTTCACGGCGAATCGAATGGTGCTATTTTTGTTTCCGTACGAGGTCTAAAACTTCCAAAAAAATCATTTTTGAATTTTTTTTTGCGTTTCGTGACGTCATAACATTTTGAATAACTCCCACATTTTTGAACCGATTCTTCTACAAATTGGTATGTAGGTGCAAGATTACTTTACTACTCAGGTTGGTTCACTAGGGAAAAAAAGGCGCCGTAGTTACGTCACGGATTTGGTAGCAATCTGGTAGCAATTTTTGCAGACATCAATGGCGCACGTGTTGTTTGATCGTCGCCAATCCTATTTTACTGCACTATTTTGTTATTTCACTGCAATGTATTTTACATTACATTTGAAAATTAAAATAAAGAAATATTCGTAACCCAGCAAGTCAGTTATTCTTTGAGGCAGCACTCTGTCAGCATTGAGCCTTCAGAATGTGTCATTTGATAGACTTTACCACATTATCTACTCTTGTGGAAAACTTTCTTAAGTCATCAAAAATGTATGCACATATGAATAATTAGAACTTCATATTCAAAGTTTTATAGAAATAAAATTTCACATTACATTATCATAAGGCTACCTGTCCATTTCATCCAACCAATTAAATATTTATCCAGCAGAAGGGAGGTACCTCTGAGAAGGTACTGATATCTCTTATCTACACCAATATTTCAGGAAAATGACAGAGACTGAGAAGCTATTAAAACTTCAGCGTATGAAAGGGATGTTATGACTTATGTACCTTGAAAAACATCAGATGCTTTTGAACCATCTCATTCACCACTCACCAGCAAACATCAATCCGGCTCCTGGCTTCTGTCAAGGAAACATTTCAAAATAATGCATTATTTTATTTCATTGACCACCTTGCAAAAGACAAACAGCAAACACATCACCACCAAAAACAAAAAAAGTCAACAGGTAGGTACCAGCTGATCTAGCCGTGCTGTGTCATGTGCCTTTGAAAAACTTTAGCAGTCAGGGTTGAATAAACACCCCAAAGTTAGCCATTCATGCATGAACAAGTGCAAAATCTGGTCGAGCATTTTAATAAAAATGAAACCAACAGCATTGTAGGTTACAATTATAAAAAAGACAATTACAAAAACAAAACAAAAATAACAGCAGAGCTTACTCTACAAGGCATAACCATTAATTTTATAACTGACATCCAAATTCGCATCTCCGAAGTTTAACCCACCTACCAGCCACCTGCATATTTCTGCGCACATGTGCTGCGCAGTGTGCAGTCACTACACATTACACAATTATGAGAATTAAAATAGTTTTGAACAATCAAACAAGTCAGGACTGGTATGCAGATTCACAAGTTCTCTCAACATCTTCAACTACCAACAATCAAGAGCACCTTGTGATCTCAGTAACTCCGCAGATCCATCTTCTGTTTTCCATTTTCAGTTTTCAATTGAAATATAAGTTCCATCTGGGAGACACATGTTGCATCATTATGTTTAAACAATTATTATGCTTGAACTTTTGGTTTTTCATGTGAACTTCACTTCAAAAGTTGATTCAATTTTTAAAGTTGATATAATTTGTATAATGCTACGATCACGGCGCACCAAATCACAGATAACTTGAAAATAACCAAGCAAAAGCCTCATTCTTCAGCAACTATGAGAGCTATCTGCTCCATGCTGCATTGAAATAATTAACAATCGCCAAAATCAGTCAAAATATGACAATTAAATTAGTATGAACTTCATAAAACTTTTATTTGTGAGGCAATGCGCAACAGAAATGCGAGGGAATATGGTAGTAATCTGGTAGCAATTATGAAGGATTTCCCCTGTAGATGATAAAAATCACAAGACACAATTTTTTTAACGCAGAGGAAATCCTTCATTATGAGTTGCAAGGACCATTTGATTGACCCATTTTGGTCAAATATAGGCCGATTGTTTCGATTTCAACCCCATTTATCGTAATAAGACGAATCCATTGGCTTAGTGGTACGTCTTTTGAACACATATAGGCCTTGGATTTCTCCTTAGCCTGCCTGAAACACACCATGATTAGCATGCATTGCTATGGGTGAAGGAAAATTCATGCGCCGTGATGACGTCACGGTAAAGGAATTCTGGAGCTCGTGAACGGGGGCTGTGTAGGTGCACATACACCACTTCTCTGACATATATTCCGGTTTTTTCGATACACTCAAAATTTTGAATTTTATAATTATTTTCCCAAAAAAAGTCAGTTTTTTTTAAAATTTGGGCCAAAATCCAAAATTTTCAAAAAATCGAGATGGCCATTTGATAGACAAAGTAGAATCACGTATAAACTTTTTTGTTACGTCTTGATTCCTTTAAAAATGAAGATGTTAGCGGCGTTTGAAATTTTGTCGTTTTTGAGGCGAAAATGGCGAACATGACGTCACTAAAACGTCAATTTCTCAAAAAAATTCCGACGGATTTCGCTCAAATTTTCAGGGAACGTGTCAAATTGCTGTATGATAAGGTACTGAAAGTTTGACGTTGCTGGCGTAACGCGTTTAGAAGTTATTGGCGAAAAACGGGAGGGGCAGATTCTGCCCCCCCCCCCCCCCAGCGGGGCGCGGGTTAACCCACGCCCCGTAGGGCTACCGGCGGACCCTACCACCCGTAGAGGGGGGGGGGGGCGTTTCGGCCCCCCCTAAGATCTCGGAAATTTACCGGCCGATTTTCAAAATTCAAACGGCGTTTGATAGCCCCACCCGGGAACTACCTTGTGACCAAATTTCATTGACCTAGGTCAAACCGATGACGTCACAGGTCAGGTCAAAGGTCAGATTTTCACCGTTCAGGCATTTCAAGAAATGTGTTGTGAAATCGAGTAAATTGGTAATTTATTGAAAACAATCGATGGTACATTGTTCGTCAAACACATACTTTGGTATCTGAGGTCACTGATACCAGGTCAGGTCACAGCGAGGTCAGGTCACGGGGGGTCACAATATGAAAGTGTCGTGTTATACATGTTTTATGGTCCATTTTACATGACAAATGCAATTATGTGGGTTAGGCAGCCTTTGGGGCCAGCCTAGGTCACGTTTTGTTGAAGGTCAGGTCAAGGTCAGGTCAAATTAGGTCAAATTTCAAAGTTGATATTTTTGCATAAAATGGGTATCGATTCGATGCAGCTCGTCACGGGGAGTCTAATGGTGGTCTTTGTTTTGCTCTACGAGGTCTAGAATTGCCAAAAATTGAGTTTAAAAATTTGACGTCATCGTTTTTTAACAGTTTTTTTTTCGCTATAACTTGGTCAAAAAACAAGGTATCGATCTGAAATTTGGTATGTAGATAGAAGACGGTAGGAAATATCACATATATTCCGGTTTTTTCGAAACACAAAAACTTTCTGGATTTTTTGGCTAATATATCCAAAAAAAAGATTTTTTTTATTTTTTGGGGTCAAAACTCAAAAATTTCAAAAATCCGAGATAGCAGTTTTGTAGCCCTGTCAATTCTACACCTTTTATGTTTTGATTATTTTTCTGTATCTTCAAAGCTATAGGCCTGACAGGTCTTGTCGCTAAGGTCTTTTTCGGTCGAAAATGACAGAACATGACGTCATTCTGACGTCATTGTTTCGGCCCCCCCTACGGGGCGCGGGTTAAGCCTGTGATTTTGCAGTGCAAAAACACTGTTGGGGGATTGAACCGTCGTTTTTATTGGGCTCGGGCACGGCGGCACCGCCATTCAACCAGGCGCGGCCGCGCTGCCTCACTCAGACGGCTAGGGAAGCGAAGAAGGATGAGGGTAGGGGCGTGCTCTGAAACTTTGAGACTATTTTCCATTGGGGTTCATTTATTCATGTTGAATTTAAAATTAGTTTTGAAAGTGAAAAATCAAATTAAGGTTTTCGGCATTCCCCGCAATCCATTTCGGCATTCCCCATAGGTTTTCGGCATTCCCCGTATAGTTTCTCTTTTTAGACATTTGTCTTTATCTCAGCTGACTCAAAGATCAATGACACAAAAGCACATTTGCGATGTATAGTCAATTGATGAGGCTTGTCAGAAATGCCGCTGGATTTTCTACTGCCGGCTTTGGCTTTCGGTGTAGCTATGGCGAGCATACCAATTTTTTCTGATGCGAGGTGACTTGAACATGACCTGATGGCGTAACCTTTAGCGACCCGGGTCTGGAATTTTTACATGTGCGGGAAAGATGCATGAACAGGTGTGCCAAAAACCACAAGGGGGGGGGGGTGTCCGAACACCTTCCTCAGGCCCGGCAAGGGTCACGAACTAAGCATCTATGTCAGGGTGTTATCATATCCTTGCCGTCCGCGTTACGAAAAATGGTCTGACCAGGTTCTCTTGCCCGAGGACTTACATTTTCTCCCGTCGATTCTGGAGGGAGAGTTCCCGTGGAGGCCCCGACTCGGGTCAGTCTCAGTTGTGTGGCGCAGCACCTCCCCTGGACAGCGTCCACATGCACAGTGACCGGAGGGGAGCCGGTGACAGCTCGGACCCCGCCGCCGACACAGCACCCCTCGGCCGTGACGGCACGGACGGCTGAATGAAGTTACCGCAGTACCTAAATACATAACGCCCACTGAATTGTCCGCGGCCGCCCGACGCACACAAGCCGTGCGTTGAGCGCGGCCGATCGGTGTTTGCTCGTTTTGACACACGACATCCTTTCACCGTTTCTTATTCGAAAGCAAATGTTGACCGTTTCGAAGTAATTTGTCAGCGGGCCTGTCAGGAAGACTCATCAATATTGACATCTACTGTCACCCAACGTATTGTTGCGGAAAGCGGCAAAGCCACAGGTGTATCGACCGCCGCTCGGCGCGCCATCGGCTGCAACGGCCTGTGCCCGCGGGCCGTGACTGTCAATACCCCGCTACTGCGCCGGTCGACCTCGGCCGCCCCTGGCAGCACACACACAGCGGGGTCTCGGTACACAGTGTATTACACAGCACATTGACTCGCTCCACCAGATCCCAGCTCCTGAACAGTCCATCACAGCACGGAGGACGGGGGGTTCCTCGTGGCTCCGCTTGGACAGAGGCCCCTCACAGCATCGTTAGGGCTTATGGTTCGGAACGGAAGGGCTGACCCAGCATACCACATCCATCACATTCCCTTCCATACGAGTATAAGCCCAACAGCGCCAATATACCACACACCCACAGAACTCGAGCAGAAAGGCACGCACATCACACAGAAAACAAAGAAACAGCAATACTCAGCACTCTTCACAGAGAAACAGTTGGCATCAGTCTCCAATCGTCGCATGGCATGATTCGATATGAAGCCTCGGCATCACCAGAACCCAAAGTAACAAACAGCCAACATGAAAATTCAAGCCAGCACACTGATAAACCAAAAGCAATGATAAAATACAAAAATATTTAGTAGCCCGTCAACAAACAATTGCAATACAGCTATGTATCATGAGCAAAATAACTAGTAATAACAGCGAGCACCAGAACATATCTCAGTTTCACGGTGGCTCCTCGCGTATGTCCGAACGCTCCCACCGCCGTCCTAGCCGAGGACGTTAACAGCTCTCACTTCCCCAAACATGTCCAACATCATGGCAGCACTGAGGCTCATCGCACAGGTTCGCATTCTATTCCTGGCAGACCCACCTTCCCCAAAGCGCTGACGTGGGTGTACCACGACAGCGTACCTGAAAATCGATGTAAATGGTCCGATAATAGCTTGGTAATGCTTTAACAATGCCCGGGCTCACAGCAGAGGGAATGCCATTGTCAGCGTTGGAATCCAAAATTAAATACCACCACCAGCATACACCATGTAGTTACATGGTTCAATGTATGATGGTTCAAGACCGGCACACATCGCTGGAACTCGCTTCATCACATTCCACACAGTGGATAGGGGAAACTACTAAACCAGGAGCAGGAGTGGATTCTCAACAGGGTAAAGGACAGACCTAGCAAGCGTTTGAGGGAAGACTACAGCTAGAGGACGCACCATGCATGGATACACCCTACTCTACGCCCACAGAAGTTACCTGAGGAACCACAATGCTCCACTGACTTGGCAAGTAGGGCGTCTTTCGCGATCACCAGTGCCCACAGGCACAATTCCGCACACTCGGCTAACAAGCGTAACAAACCGCCTGGTTCGCCCGGTCGCTCGAAAGGCATTCATAAGCTCGCCTTATTCGGACAGAACATTGTCAAATATCAGACGTTCGAAAACCTCGGGCAAATATAAGCTTGTTTAAACGAAAAAATCCAGTCCACCAAGAGAAAAAGAAAAAATACACAGCACATGTAAAAACGATTCAAAGTTCCACGCGTTCCTATAGGACCGAATAGTTAACTGCCAACATCGATAGAAATACATTCCCGTATAAATGCCATCGACTGCGTTTGACGCCATGATACACATCAGTTGCGCTAAGGCAGGTGACCAACACAGGCGACGGTAGGCAGGCACGTGTCCAGGCACAGGTGTAGGCGTGGCGTTAGTGGCGGGGACGCTAGTGGGTGACGGTAACGATGTGACCTTCGTAGTGTGACCTGGTCAGAGGTGTGACCTTCGTGGTAATATCAGCAGAGGGACGGGGGAGACACAGTCTGCACCTCTGTATGTCGTGTAGAGGTATATAACCGATCTGCGGCCCTCCCCGTCCGTCCCCGATCGGTCGTCAGTCCTCATACCGGTGGCAGGCTGCTAGGCGAGCTCGGTGAGTCGGTGCGCCTCGAGCAGCTGCTGCGTTTGCCCGTGCACCTCCCGCAGCAGGTCGGCACACTGCGACAGACCCATGTCGTCTCCGTGCAGCGCCGACGGGGTGCCCAGCTGCCGGGATGAGGGCGGGGTGATCGGTCAAAGGCGGAGGCAGCCAGCGAAAGAGCCAGGGTCAGCTCCCCGCGGAACAGTATGCACCAACACAAGTTAACTGTGCATCACAGCTAGAGACACGGCTAGATATTTTAAAGAGTGACAAAAACCTCAGGAGAGTGGAGCCAAGTCTCAGTCGAAGTAACCAAAAGACATAATCAAGGCACTGATTCAACAATGGCCTCCGACACCATTGTCCCCCGCCCCTGTCACACATCTGACTGGTAAAAAAGTTCCGATCCTTCTCCATGACACTCCTACCAACACCTCACGCCCAAAGCTCCCAATCCTGAGCAGTCTCCCCATTCCCCAGCAGCTTCATACCTTGAATAACGTGTCTCGGTGCCCTCTGGTCTCTTCGCACCCTGAGCAGTCTTCCCACTCCCCTCCGTACCTTGAGCAGCGTCTCCTCACTCCCGCAGCTGATTAATAGGTCACCTGCCTTAGTCTATGTCTAGTCACCCGGCAGAGTGTACACGGGCGGGATACCAGGTACAATGACATGCTTGTGACCCCCACTGTCAGGTCAGAGTCCGGACGTCGCCGTTTTCTGTACTCTGCGGTGTCAGGGTACAACGAGCTGCCGGCGGACCTGCGCGCTCTCAGTCAGGCTCGATTCAAGCCGGCACTGAGGGAGCATTTGTTTGACCGCGAGCGAGCCACTTAGCTGTCCTAGTTAGCACACGTGATGAGGGTGAATGTGTGAATGAGTGCGGTGACTGTTGTCATATCCCATTCGATTTGTATATGCACAACGACTTGGACATAGAATAGCCGTGTTTCCACGGACATGTCTGTAATGTGAAATAAATAAATAAATAAATAAATTAACCTGTACAGTTTGCCCATTCCCCGCAACCCCGTGACTTGCGCAGTCTCCCCACTCGCCTCCGTACCTTGAGCAGCGTCTCGCCGCGCGTGCCCAGCGCATACATGGCCAGGAGGGCGGCCTTCTGTGCCAGCCACGGGTGGTGGGCGGCCAGCGTGCGCCGGTAGGCCGCCTGGCAGCCGGCCGACAGACGCTCCTCGTCCGGCGTGTGGCTCAGCTCGCGCAGAAACTCAGACACGAACTCTGCGGACGGGGCCGGGCAGTGAGTCTGAGGGTGCGGGGAAGGGGATACGACGGAACGGAGGACAGTGACTTGCAGAACGGCTCAGAACAGAACAGGACTCGTACTCTGACACCGCGGCGGGGCATAGGATGACAACTGATCAATGGCAAGGTGGACAGAAAAAGACGCGAAAATGATGATAGAGCGCTACGAGACAGGGGCTCCGCCACGGTTTTGGGATTGGGGGGGGGGGGGGGGTCCGACCCATAACACAAAACCTCGCTGGCGGATCCAGGATGGGCATTTTGGGCGAATTCCCCCTCCCACCGCCTTCCCCCTGCAGCTCCCGAAATCGATGAAAAATTGCCGTTTTTCTAGTGTTCAAGGAAAGCTTTATAATTTTATTCCGAGAATTTTGCTTTAAACCGAAAAACCAAGGTTCAATTTGCACAAGGAATTGAAAACCGAGAAGCGGAGTCCATGGACACCGACATGGCGGCCGCTCAAATCAACGTTCTTGAGGAATGGAGACCGTTGTTGCGTGTTCCAAGGCGGTGCCTTTAGCCATCAGACAGCGCATTAGGCTTTCAGTGACTGGCATGGGCTTGGGAATTCAGGGACCTTCATAGGCGCTCAGATATCTATGTAGGCTCTTAGGCCAGTGTCGGGTCCTCCAAGGCCGTAGTTAAAGGAAAGCGCAGGGCTGTGGGAGTCGTTGTAGGGATTTGAAAGCCCTGCCCTCATATGGCAGTATGCGGTCCTTAGAGACTGACATTCAGTCTCTGTGATCAGAGTGTGACCTAGCCTGACCTGAAAATGGATACCAAAATGCCGCACTTGAATCAAAGGTCAGGTTATGGGATCCAGTAAGACTTGTAACTTGTATACTACTGTGGTATACCCTATCTCTACCAACCTGCATTCAGAGTCCTGTGTTTACTTCAGAACGGTGTGAGGCTGCTTAGACTAGTATGGTGCTGAAGCCTGAAACAACCAGCTTAACCCTCCCCCCCCCCCAACACTATTGGGTGACCTCACATGGAAAGATGATTCTCAGATCGATTTGAAGCATTTTTGGGGCGGGTGTTGTGTCTAGGAGGTGTCCTGCAAGCTGGATCCCTCTCGCGAAATTATAGCCGAATTCTAGCATGCTTAGCTAATCATAGCAATCTTAAACGCATTCGTAGTAATAACAAAATGGTAGAATAATGACACTCCCGTACATAAAGGTCAGCGAGTGAATTGAGCACTTCGTGTGTCACAACATTTTAAGCATTCCCTACATTTCTCGATCTTAAATTCCTTAGCTGTGCGACTGTCAACACATTCTAAATTATTCAAAACATTCTGTGACTGATTTAATCATTCTTACGCGAAAACAAGCCAAGAGGTATTTGGAATATTGGGGGGTACTGTACCCCCCAGGTAAATTATTGGGGGGGGGGGGTCCGGACCCCCGCGTACCCCCCTGTGGCGGAGCCCCTGCTACGAGACTAGGCGACACCGAATCGTATCGGGGATGCAATGGGTCCAATATTTAACCCTATTAGTGGCAGGGGGGGGGGTTGTTTTTATCCACCCCTCAGGTTTTTCGGGAATATCTCCGAAACCGCTGAAGCTACGATGCTGAAATTTTCTGACTTTTCCTAAAACTAAATTGGGCACATTCCCTGAAAATTTCAAGTTCATAACTTTACCAGGGGCGGCTCCAGAGCACTGGGAATTGGGGGTCCTATTCGTGAAGCGAGTCATTTGGGCGAAGATCACGATGCTGCACCAGTTTTACGAACAGTGAATGAAAGGTATCATGTGATAACATATACAAAGTTATTGTGCATCCTCTTTTGACACGTTTTTGCTATAATAGGCGGATCCAGGCGTCCAAAAAAGGGGGTTATTTTTTACCTCCCAACATAGGTGCCCTGACACCGCCTATGCATGACCAATACAATTTTAGTCGTTCTCTCATAAGAAAATTGTAACATAACAAGACCATTGCCACCCTTTTTAGAAACAGTACCAACAAAAACCTTATTTACTATACTTTTTGTGTACCCCCAATCTCAATGATCTGTATCCGCCTATGATTTTTGAAAATGCATATTTTTAGGATCCATGTGAATTCCTGGTTCATTCTCTATCGATCGGCAAAAGTTGCGTTAAGATTGGTTCAGAAACCTGGCCGTGATAAACAGTCTAAAATGTATCTGCAATTTGCCCGTTTTTACCCCCCTCTACCCCCCTATTGACATTTTTTAATTTTATTTTTTTTAGAAATGTAGATCCCGTTGAGCCAAATCGAATGCCGTTTGAATTTTGAAAATCGGCCGGTTAGATCTCGAGATATCAAGGGGGGTCGTAAACAGCCCCCCCCCCCTGCCACTAATATGGGGTAGCCAGAAGCCTGCCACTAATAGGGTTAACAACGGTGGAGTCGTTCCGATATAAACGCGGGGTCGTACCGACGAGACTAGAATGAGGTCCTGATATTGGAATGGTGTCAAACGGGGACTAAAATGTAGCGGCATCAGTATTACGACAGTGTATCATCGAGAGTACGACTGAGCCGTACTGATGCTACACTGCAGTCGTGCAGGGGCTAGAATTGAGCCTTCCGAGACTGGAATGGAGTCGTACCGAGATTGCGGTGGAGCCGCACCAGCAGCCGGCAGCCGCCGCCGCCGATGTCGTCGCCGCCCAGCTCGCCGCCGGCCGTCTCGAACTCGATCATGCCCTCGACGGTGGCGTAGCTGGTGCCGGCGCCGCCCTTGCGCAGGCAGTCGAGCTGCAGCAGCTTCTGGAGCACGTCGTGCGCTAGTGGGACGAACACCGGCCCAAGACGGACCAGCAGTCTGCGGCGCGCCGGTGGGCAGTCAGGGCGCGGGGCGCGCGGGGGGGATTCACAGGGGCTGGTAGCTGTGACATTAATGTGCTATTGTCCACTCATGTAGTAGAGAGACAGACACTATTGAAAACATGTTAAAAATAATAATCACAACATAATCATTGAACCAAAAGCATAAAAGATGCTATTTAGATGATGATGCTGATAAATATGATCATGCTCAAACTAGAATGACTATTTCCAGCTGAAAACTATTACACACATAGCAGTATCTGACTAAAAATGTCACACCAAGCACACTGGTATGGTCACCAGTGGTGACCAGTGGTGACTCACCAGTCACCACAGAACTTACTTGTGTATGTCATGGTAAGCTGAGATGTATGGATCCAAGTAGAGGCAACCATTCTTTGCCATGCACTTCTTCATGTTTGATGTTATAGCATTTACATCAAAATCGTCATCTTCTGAGACATTGGTAAAGCTCATGATTGAAACACAAACACTGCTTTTGGATTTTAGCAACCAGTCCCACCCTGAATGGAAAATAACAAAACATGTAACACAACTTAGGACCTAATGCTAAATAACAATAATGTAATTTTACTATTAAACAAAAAAATCATGATGGTTAGATTAGTGAACTAAAATCATAATAATATGCACGGTGCAAATATTTTTTAGCTATTATCTATCATATGTTTAGCTATTAGCTCTTTCTTTTCGTAAAAACAAGGGCCTGTTCCAGCACCACCAGAAAACCTCCAGAATTAGGTATTAGTAAGTCTGGCGTCACACGAAGATGCCAGATGTCGACGGTTGAGAAATTCCCTAGATATCTAGAGATATTCCTCGGAACGCTGTGTACGCTAAAGTTACTGTCCGATTACCAAAGTTAAGGTCTCAAACGAATCCTCGATTCACGGACTACCTTCACTGAGGTTCATGACCTCCAAGGTCATGACCTTCCAGGTCAACATAAAGGTCAAACGACGGATACCGCTCTGCACGCCAAAGTTAGCGACCGATTTCCAAAGTTAAGGTCTCAAACGATTCCCCAATTCACGGACTACCTTCACCGAGGTTCACGACCTCCAAGGTCATGACCTAGGTCAACTTCAAGGTCAAATGACAGAAAACGCCCTACACACCAAAGTCACCGACCGATTACCAAAGTTAAGGTCTCAAACGATTCCCCAATTCACGGACTACCTTCACTGAGGTTCATGACCTCCAAGGTCATGACCTTCCAGGTCAACATAAAGGTCAAACGACGGAAACCGCTCTGCACACCAAAGTTAGCGACCGATTTCCAAAGTTAAGGTCTCAAACGATTCCCCAATTCACGGACTACCTTCACCGAGGTTCACGACCTCCAAGGTCATGACCTAGGTCAACTTCAAGGTCAAATGACAGAAAACGCCCTACACACCAAAGTCACCGACCGATTACCAAAGTTAAGGTCTCAAACGATTCCCCAATTCACGGACTACCTTCACTGAGGTTCATGACCTCCAAGGTCATGACCTTCCAGGTCAACATAAAGGTCAAACGACGGAAACCGCTCTGCACGCCAAAGTTAGCGACCGATTTCCAAAGTTAAGGTCTCAAACGATTCCCCAATTCACGGACTACCTTCACCGAGGTTCACGACCTCCAAGGTCATGACCTAGGTCAGCTTCAAGGTCAAATGACAGAAAACGCCCTACACACCAAAGTTACAGACCGATTACCAAAGTTAAGGTCTCAAACGATTCCCCAATTCACGGACTACCTTCACTGAGGTTCATGACCTCCAAGGCCATGACCTTCTAGGTCAACATAAAGGTAAACCGACGGAAACCGCTCTGCACGCCAAAGTTAGCGACCGATATCCAATGTTAAGGACTCAAACGATTCCCCAAGTCATGGACTACCTTCACTGAGGTTCGAGACCTTAAAGGTCATGACCTTCCAGGTCAACACCAAGGTCAAATCACAGAAAGCGCCCTACACGCCAAAGTTACCGACCGATTACCAAAGTTAAGGTCTCAAACGGTCTCAAACGATTCCCCGATTCACGGACTACCTCCACCGAGGTTCATGACCTCCAAGGTCATGACCTTGGAGGTCATGAACCTCAGTGAAGGTAGTCCGTGAATTGGGGAATCGTTTGAGACCTTTACTTTGGTAATCGGTCTGTAACTTTGGTGTGTAGGGCGTTTTCTGTCATTTGACCTTGAAGTTGACCTAGGTCATGACCTTGGAGGTCGTGAACCTCGGTGAAGGTAGTCCGTGAATTGGGGAATCGTTTGAGACCTTAACTTTGGAAATCGGTCGCTAACTTTGGCGTGCAGAGCGGTTTCCGTCGTTTGACCTTTATGTTGACCTGGAAGGTCATGACCTTGGAGGTCATGAACCTCAGTGAAGGTAGTACGTGAATTGGGGAATCGTTTGAGACCTTAACTTTGGTAATCGGTCGGTAACTTTGGTGTGTAGTGCGTTTTCTGTCATTTGACCTTGAAGTTGACCTAGGTCATGACCTTGGAGGTCGTGAACCTCGGTGAAGGTAGTCCGTGAATTGGGGAATCGTTTGAGACCTTAACTTTGGAAATCGGTCGCTAACTTTGGCGTGCAGAGCGGTTTCCGTCGTTTGACCTTTATGTTGACCTGGAAGGTCATGACCTTGGAGGTCATGAACCTCAGTGAAGGTAGTCCGTGAATCGGGGATTCGTTTGAGACCTTCACTTTGGTAATCGGACAGTAACTTTAGCGTACACAGCGTTCCGAGGAATATCTCTAGATATCTAGGGAATTTCTCAACCGTCGACATCTGGCATCTTCGTGTGACGCCAGGCTTACTAATACCCAGAATTACCCAGTCAGTATTCCAGCACCTCCAGTAAGTTCCTGAAAGATCTTCACAAATCTCCAGAAGCCTCCAGCAACTTCCAGTCAGTTGAGAGGTCCATATTTGAATGGAGGATGGAGGTTCTATATTATATTTTGAAGAAATCTATAGGAAAAATGGTGGAATCTGAACACAGGGCACCTGGGGTGATTTGATCAAAGATCTTGGAATTTGCTTGACCTCATCACATGACAAATGGCCTGCTAAAGGCACCAACCAGGCTGCGAAGTATGGCACGCAGGTCGACGAGGCGCACCGGCCCAAGTCCAAAATCCGCACCAACCCTTCAAACTGAGCCGGAAAATCCGCACCAAAGCGAGCCGAGAGCCCAAAATATCCGCACCGAACCCACAGGCAATTAAAATGCAAGGGACTTCATTCATCTCACTATAATTATTTCCTCTCCAATTTCAGTTTCACGAGCAACGCTCACCACGGGGCCGCGCCCGCGCTTGTACCGGAAGTTTGAAATAGAGCAAATAGACGGACGCCGGTGACAACAGGGCGCCGGAGGGCATATTGGGTCACGTGACGTTCGGAACTTCTCCCCTCTCTGTGGGCCTTCTACATGCTAAATGTCACGTGTGAATTTGACGAGCCTTGATAAAATCGCCCCAACAAACTTTCATATGAGTAAAATTAATGACGTCATTCCAAAGTAGCGTGCTGATTGGCAATTCAAACCAGCTGCTCACAAATGTGACATACCAGTCACCACCGCAACCAGTCTTCGTTCTAATGACGTCGTCATCACGTTAATTTCCGAGGCGAGAATGGATTTGTTCTGCCGCAATTGTTAGCTCGTAGAGTAAATTTAAAACCTTTCTCCGTCACCGTGCGTCACCGTGGCTGGCACGCATTTGAAGGGCTTTCCAAAGAACAGTCAAAAAGGAAACCCGGCCCGGTAAGAAGACCAAGCGAAGTCCACACCGCATCAAGGTCCAAGCCAAATCCGCACCGCACCAGGCAAAATCTGCACCGCACCACTCCAAAATCCGCACCGGCCGAACAGGCCCGCACCGACGAGATCTCGTCGAAATTGCCATACTTTGCAGTCTAGGGCACCAAGAGGGGAGAATATCCCATTAATCACTTGACTAAAATGCTCTCCGGCGCCCTGTTTTTAGATTCCACTGGAAAATCCTTCTGTGAGAGTATGCACCGTCACTAGCCACAATGGATAAAATTTACAGTACCAAGCAAGGTGGACGTTCCAGGGAGGTAAAAAGAGGGCACTTATTTTGAGACCGCAACACACATTGTAGCACTATTTAATATTACTTCAAATTCTTGAAGCTTATAATTTATTGGACTATGTAAGCTTTAGCTTTTAGGCTTTCAAAAATATTATTTTTGCTTATTCAGTAACACAATCTGTTACCATTACGAAAATGTGCACTGCTGCCACCTCTCCCGAACAGCCATCCCAGGCAGATTAAGGCTATCTGTAAGAATCTTGATTATGGCATGGTTTTGAAAAACACTTTAGTTAAGTTGACAATGTTAATAGCAATGTAGGCACACTTTCATTTAATTTAACATGTGACGTTGACGTGGAATTTGTAAATGGCCCTGGCCACAGGAGGGTTTCACATGATGGTGTACCTAAGACCAAGACCAATTGCCTATCAAAACACACATACTCCTCTATGCTAAATGACGTGGAAACCGTCACGAAAATGTTGAAACGGGCAATTATTTTATTATTTTTGATCTATTACAATTATACCATAACAATCCTCAATCTGAAACGTACTCCGAAGTGCGGATATTTTGCAACACAACCTACCAAACCCTTGACCAAACCAACCAAGCGCGACACATTTCAATTTTTATCAATAACCCGGTTTACATAGGGTTTGTTGCAAGCTTATATCTCCGTCCGTGATGTTGCAAAAGATGCCAATGGTGCTTAACAATTTACAAAATGATCCCCTCTAAATATTTGAAGACCACTGCACCGAAATTATCGCCAAATTAACGAGCTAGAGCCTCGTCAAAAATGCTATGTAAACCGGGTTAAAGGGACCCTCCCACCTTCAAAAAAGTTAATGAATTGGCATGAAAGTGATGTCGCTCGGTTCAGAAAGAGCAAAAACGAATATCTACCAAATTTCATCGAAAAATATTCACCGGTTTTCAAGATATTAGACTTTTACTTTTGTTTACTTTTTGGGATCTCCGCTGTTCCTAGCGACTTTATTTGAAAGTGCGGCATTTGTTGCGCGCAAAGCAGCATATACCACCGCGTGCTACAAAACGTTTTAGTCAAACATTTAACGGACGTTCGAAAGCCTGATGACGTCATCAGATTCCCGTAATGGTTAAGAGATAGGGACCACGCTGGTCCCACCCTGCAAGTAAAGGGAAGGAATTTCTTGAACACCATAAAGCTGCGGGGGTTGCGACCAGGATAAATGGTGGTTTCTGAGCCTGGCCGCAAACTTGGCTATCTCAACTCAAAACTAATGTTAAGGTGGGAGGGTCCCTTTAATGCTTCTGCGCCATGTGTGCGAAGTGCGGCAGAATTGTAACGTTTAAAAACACTGCAGCGCCGACTTTTGATGGACAACACTATTCGACCGCCACCCTTGCAGCCATTCTATAACTCAGGAACTACTAGACCGATCGGAAAGAGCGAAACACCATTCGAATCAGGAGGTACGATTTTATCAGCCGTTTCGAAGCTCGTGACCCCAGGTGACCTCGGTGACCTCAAGAGGTCAACTCGGCATTGACGCCTATTGCAGCCATTCTATAACTCAGGAACTACTGGGCTGATCGCGACGAAAACACCACCAGTCGAATCAGCGTATGCGATTTCATCAGCCGTTTCGAATATGGTGACCTCAGGTGACCTCGGTGACCTTGGGAGGTCACATGACCAATGTGGCCTAGGGCAGACATTCCATAACTAAGGAACTGCTGGGCAGATCGTGACGAAAACACCACCAGTCGACTCAGCGTATGCGATTTCATCAGCCGTTTCGAATATGGTGACCTCAGGTGACCTCCGTGACCTTGGGAGGTCCCATGACTAATGTGGCCTATGGCAGCCATTCTATAACTCAGGAACTACTGGGCCGATCGTGACGAGAACACCACCAGTCGATTCAGCGTATGCGCTTTCATCAGTCGTTTCGAATATGGTGACCTCAGGTGACCTCGGTGACCTTGGGAGGTCACATGACCAATGTGGCCTATTGCAGCCATTCTATAACTCAGGAACTACTGGGCCGATCGTGACGAAAACACCACCAGTCGATTCAGCGTATGCGATTTCATCAGCCGTTTTGAATGTGGTGACCTCAGGTGACCTCGGTGACCTTGGGAGGTTACATGACCAATGTGGCCTATGGCAGCCATTCCATAACTCAGGAACTACTGGGCCGATCGTGACGAAAACACCACCAGTCAACTCAGCGTATGCGATTTCATCAGCCGTTTCGAATATGGTGACATCAGGTGACCTCGGTGACCTTGGGAGGTCCCATGACCAATGTGGCCTATGACAGCCATTCTATAACTCAGGAACTACTGGGCCGATCGTGACGAGAACACCGCCAGTCGATTCAGCGTATGCGCTTTCATCAGGCGTTTTGAATATGGTGACCTCAGGTGACCTCGGTGACCTTGGGAGGTCACATGACCAATGTGGCCTATGGCAGCCATTCTATAACTCAGGAACTACTGGGCCGATCGCGACGAAAACACCACCAGTCGAATCAGAGTATGCGATTTCATCAGTCGTTTCTAATATGGTGACCTCAGGTGACCTCGGTGACCTCAAAAGGTCAACTTTACGTTTTCGCCTATTGCAGCCATTCTATAACTCAGGAACTACTGGGCCGATCGTGACGAAAACACCACCAGTCGATTCAGCGTATGCGATTTCATTAGCCGTTTCGAATATGGTGACCCCAGGTGACCTCGGTTACCTTGGGAGGTCACATACCAATGTGACCTATTGCAGCCATTCTATAACTCAGGAACTACTGGGCCGATCGTGACGAAAACACCACCAGTCGATTCAGCGTATGCCATTTCATCAGTAGTTCGAATATGGTGACCTCAGGTGACCTCGGTGACCTCAAAAGGTCAACTTTACGTTTTCGCCTATTGCAGCCATTCTATAACTCAGGAACTACTGGGCCGATCGTGACGGAAACACCACCAGTCGATTCAGCGTATGCGATTTCATCAGCCGTTTCGAATATGGTGACCTCAGGTGACCTCGGTGACCTTGGGAGGTCACATGACCAATGTGGCCTATGGCAGCCATTCTATAACTCAGGAACTTCTGGGCCGATCGTGACGAAAACACCACCAGTCGAATCAGCGTATGCGATTTCATCAGCCGTTTCGAATATGGTGACCTCAGGTGACCTGAGGTAGACCTCAGGTAGTTCCTGAGTTATAGAATGGCTACAATAGGCGAAAACGTAAAGTTGACCTTTTGAGGTCACCGAGGTCACCTGAGGTCACCATATTCGAAACAGCTGATGAAATCGCATACGCTGATTCGACTGGTGGTGTTTTCGTCACGATCGGCCCAGTAGTTCTTGAGTTATAGAATGGCTGCCATAGGCCACATTGGTCATGTGACCTCCTAAGGTCACCGAGGTCACCTGAGGTTACCATATTCGAAACGGCTGATGAAATTGCATACGCTGAATCGACTGGTGGTGTTTTCGTCACGATCGGCCCAGTAGTTCCTGAGTTATAGAATGGCTGCAATAGGCGAAAACGTTAAGTTGACCTTTTGAGGTCACCGAGGTCACCTGAGGTCACCATATTCGAAACGGCTGATGAAATCGCATACGCTGATTCGACTGGTGGTGTTTTCGTCACGATCAGCCCAGTAGTTCCTGAGTTATAGAATGGCTGCCATAGGCCACATTGGTCATGTGACCTCCCAAGGTCACCGAGGTCACCTGAGGTCACCATATTCGAAACGGCTGATGAAATCGCATACGCTGAATCGACTGGTGGTGTTTTCGTCACGATCGGCCCAGTAGTTCCTGAGTTATAGAATGGCCGCAATAGACGAAAACGTAAAGTTGACCTTTTGAGGTCACCGAGGTCACCTGAGGTCACCATATTCGAAACGGCTGATGAAATCGCATACGCTGATTCGACTGGTGGTGTTTTCGTCGCGATCGGCGCAGTAGTTCCTGAGTTATAGAATGGCTGCAATAGGCGAAAACGTAAAGTTGACCTTTTGAGGTCACCGAGGTCACCTGAGGTCACCATATTCAAAATGACTGATGAAATCGCATACGCTGAATTGACTGGTGGTGTTTTCGTCACGATCAGCCCAGTAGTTCCTGAGTTATAGAATGGCTGCCATAGGCCCCCAGGTGAAAAAATCTTACAAGATTGTCAGGCATTATTATGCAAGACAATCTTGCAAGAAATTGGCCCACTTTCTTGTAAGATATTGTGTATGAATCTTGCATGTCTTGTACAAGATTCTTGTAAATCTTTTACAAGAATCTTGCACATCTTATACAAGAATCTTATAAATCTTGTACAAGAATCTTGCAGGTCTGGTACAAGATTCTTGTAAATCTTTTACAAGAATCTTGCATATCTTATACAAGATTCTTATAAATCTTGTGCAAGAATCTTGCAAGTCTGGTGCAAGATTCTTGCAAATCTTTTACAAGAATCTTGCACGTCTTATACAAGATTCTTATAAATCTTGTGCAAGAATCTTGCAAGTCTGGTGCAAGATTCTTGCAAATCTTTTACAAGAATCTTGCACATCTTATACAAGATTCTTATAAAGAATCTTGCTGGTCTGGTACAAGATTCTTGCATGTCTTGCACAAGGCTCTTGCAAGAGTCTTGTAAGACTCTTACGTGTACTGTATAAGAATCTTGCAGGAGTCTTGTACAAGACTCTTGCATGTCTTGTACAAAGCTTTTGCTTGAGTCTTACCAGACTGTTGCAAGAGTATTGTACAAGACTTCAACAAGTTTTGTACCAGACTCTGGCAAACCTTCTACAAGGCTTGCTAAGACTCTGAGACCGACCGTTCCAAGTCTCTCAGCAAGACTTGGAAGTCTTATCGAAGACTTGCAAGCCTTGTGCAAGACTTCCAGATATTGCCCTAAGATATTGTTTCGATTGTATTAATGTCGAGACCCGTGTGTACGAAATCCACAAAGTGAAATGGATAATATGCCAGTGTAAACGTCAAAATCAATATGTATTCATGAAAAATGTATAGCTGAGAACACATATCAACAGCCCTTTACTTTTCGAGTCATCCCACGTCACAGTCACATCACATCATCACACCGTTGACGTCACGTCATGTCACCATTGTCGAGGCCGCCGTTCCGTCTGCATCCAGCTATACTCGTACACATCTTGAGCGAGGATGTCGCCCGTCGAGCCTTGCATCACATATTATTGGTGAGCCGAGATTCTCGAATGCTGAAATGAAATGTCATTTATATAATCAGGTAATATCCAAGCCAGAAGTGAAAAGGTGAGCCAGTCCGTATCAGTCAAAAACTAGAATTGATGGGGCTCATTTTCGATGAAAGATTATTCAGCATATCATAGCTATCATCCTCACGTATCTACCATCCCTGGGCCCAGTTTCACCGTATGACGTTACCGTCAGCACTATTCCCTTTGTGGCATGCAAAAGAATGATAGGCGATCAGCTATTTTTGAGTGAACGTTTTGGCGCTGTTTTTTTCTGTAATGCTGCAAATATTGAGAACAATTTTCTTATTGTTACACAGCAATACAGCATGGCAGAACCTTACCTTCAGGTCGGAATAGGAGACGGCAGACGACACCAACACCGCACGGCACACACTCGACACCCCCATCGGCCGTCCGCACATCGCGAGCGGGCAGTGAATGGGACGGATGGAATGCGGCGGAGGGGGGCGCGCGCGACGCGCGCTCCCCTCTCCGGCGTCTCCGGCCTCCGCCCCAGGCGAGGATCGGAAGGGGACGCCCGCCGCCGACCGTACGGTCTCTAAAACGGACAGTGGTCGCTAAATTCCAGTCGGTACAGTCTCTAAAAGATCACCACTGCGCACAAATGCACGCTTAAGTCCCCGCATAATACAGTAC